ACTCCCGTCGTCCCTGAAAATCTTTTGTTCCTCTTCTTTCATTTGCCTTTAAAAAAATTCTCATTTCCATTAAAGGTCGTTTTTATCCATACTAATTCTTAATTTACACATCACATCACACCTATTCATTATTAATTTTTCTATCAAATTCTATTTTTACTCATAATATCCAATGACTTATTTGGAAACTCAATTCCAAAATACACTACTCTTAAATCTCTTAAAAATCAAAAGTTCCCATATTTTCAGGGACGGAGGGAGTATATGTTAACAGTAACGAAAAAGGATCAACTTTGCTGGAGATTTTTTTTATGCATTAGAGACAAATTCCATTATTGATTCATAATTTGAAGCATTGCTTAGTTGGTCAATAACGAAATCTGTAATTATCGTATTTGATATCTGGTAACGGTAACGAAAAAGGATCAGCTTTGCAAGAGATTCTTTTATGTGTTAGAGACAAATTCTATTATTCATTGACTAGATTAAAATTAAATCTTCATTTACCTACACCCGATTTGAACTTGATACTTTTATGATCATGTTTTTTAGAAACAAGAAATCTAGAAAAAATACGAGACTCTTCTCCGAATAGAACTTCTACAGCTTCAAGAACGGATAATTGCAATGTGACAGATAAGATGCTAAATTAAACTTTCTACAAAGTATTTCTCTGAAAACTTTTTTTTCATCTGTCCCAAAAAAATTTTCTCATTTCATTTAAAAAGTCAGTTTTACCCCACTAATTCTTAACATACTTATCACGTTACATCTATTCATTATATGAGTATTAATCCACCCAACAAATCCCACTTTTACTCATCACATCCAAAGACATTTTTGAAAACTCAACACCAAAATACACTCTCAAAACTCTTAAAATCAAAATTACACATGTTTTTAGGGACGGGAGTACGGGAGGAGTACTAAAATATAACTCAAGAACAAAAATCTATTCTTTGTAAAAAAAAAATACAAATAAGAGTTACAAGAAAATATCTAATTAAACAATACACACTACATGGATAGAATAACAACCTCTTTTTTTTTGATAATATTTCAATAAACTCGAGTCTCAGCTATTTTGCATTGAGAAGACCATGTGGTCTTGCACTTACATCCTGAGTCAATCTCATTACAAAGACAAAATCTATGATGGGTTCAACAAAGATGATGTCAGAGGGCCACATTAATAAAAAAAAATTGGGCGCTTAACATATTGGACCTGATCAGGTAGGGTCACTCTCAGGCCGGCCTTGAGAAGATCATGTGGTCTTGCACTTACGTTGTTCTTCGCTCAGCTCACTCTTGGGCCGGCCTTGTTCCTTCATAATGTATAGTATATACTTCATCTGTTCTCAAAAATACTTCTTCTTTCATTTTTCTACTTTCAACAAAACACTTTCACTAAAAACCACTTTGACTCTTACTTTTTCATACCCTACCTTAGTAATATATCCATCATATCTTACTTTGATCCATCACATTAAGGGCAAAACAAGAGTATAATTTAACATTTTCTTATTTTTACACTCTGTGAAACTAGGAACTTTTTTCGATATATATATATATATATGGAGTGCTAGGGCCTAGGGTTATTGATTTCTTTTCCGTCAAAGGAAAGAAAGTAAAAAGAAAAGCTAGGGTATGTTATGTTAATCTCTTTGACTTAAGTGACCGGCCATTATATTATTCTAGTGTTATCTTCTCCCTCGTTTTTAAACTGTCAAACCCACGACCAAAGCACTATAAGTTTCTCATGAGTGGAAATCTTTCTCGTGCATTCTACTCCTTTGCTTAAAGGAAATTAACAACATAATTATTATTTTCTATTAAACATTAAAACCTTAATTAATTTGCGTCCAATAGAAAAGAAAATAAGAATCTTTTTCCTAAAATATTGTTGTACGTTCTTGCCAAGTATTTTACTACCCACGCCTAGTAAAATTTATCAACTCTCTCATCTTAAATGTTTCATAAAATATTTTAATTTGGCTTCAATTGACACAATCGTGCTTATTTATTTTAAATTTTACCGAACTTACCGAACTACATTCAACACCCTATCCATTTTGATATTTCTCGAGCCATAATCATTTCATTTTCCATGGTTTTACCGTAGTCGAACTTCTATAATTTTTCTTTTCAAAAGTCAAAATAGAAAATATTTTGCGGGACGGACGAAGTAAATGTAAATTATGTAATAACCGAGTTCAAATGTTGTTTACAAATCCAAATTAAATATAGGCTTATACTCCGAATAGAAAAAAATATATTCCCGATAGTTTAATGCGAAAACAAAGCCCAATGGGAAACCCTTTACTTTGAAAATTGAAGTCCACCAAAAATGTATTTGAATGGACTCTTTTGTGGACCTTCATTTGGAATATAGGTCATTTATTAATGGACCTTCATTTAAATACAGGCGGACCCATGACAAGGTTTAAGGAGGGAGTGCTCTTGCTGGATCTTTTTTTTTTTCGTTCTAATTCTAAAACAATACTAGGGCTTTAAACCGATAATATCCACAAAAGTATAGTTTATCCGAATCCAAATCCGATTAAGTGTTGAGAAATCTGAATCCGTATCCGACCGAATATCAGTGTCTTCAAACCCGGAAACAAAAATGTAAGATGAGGCAGAAGGATTTGAATCCAAGACCTCTAACCTTCAAATTCAAAGTTATAGCCATCTGGGTTAAATCAAATGTCGGATATTTGTAAGCAGTATCAAATGTACGAGTATATTTATTTCTTATACATGTTGTCTTCTAATATTTTTTTAAAAATAATCTACATCTAACTATAATGCTTTGTATTTTTTAAATAAACTTCATATTACTTATAATTATAGACATACTTATTTTATGTGATAATATTTTATTATATTTTAAAGTACTTCAAAAAATTTGATAATTTTTTATATAAACATAAATATGAATATTTTATACCAAGCTATAGGTCATTGACTTGTGTCAATCTGGTTGACCTTTGACCCAATTGCTAGTTCGGTTTGATGTCTGATTCGATTTTCAAAACATTATCGAATATCTAAATCCGTTAATAAAAATTCAATTAACTATAAAAAGAATAAAAAAGTGAATGTTGAAGTCCAAAATACTGAACAATGTCAAATACGTAAAAAAAACTAATGTATAAATAATAAATACTTAACAAAAAAATGGTTCGAACAAAAATACAAATTCATAACCAACCAAGTACTTTGTGGAAGCAATGAGCCAAGTATGAATGTATAACGGGCTGGACAAATAAGTTATCCAAATGTATAACACTACAATTATCAAAATTACAGCCCTACTCGGGAAAACATAGGCTTTTTTAAATAAAAAAAGAAAATAAAAAAGGATAATACTCCCTCCGTTTTTTAAAACACTTCCTCTTTCATTTTTTTCATTTCCAACAAAACACTTCCACTTTCTATTAAAAAACCACTTTTACTCTTACTTTTTACCCTACCAATCACATCATATTTTATTCTCTAATAATCTATCCATCACATCTTACTTTTACCTATCACATCAAGGGCAAAATTGGAAGTCAACTATAATTTAATACCCCGAAGTACTTCTTTATTTTTACACAAAGTCAAAATAGGAACACTTTTTCCAAACGGAGGGAGTATATGTGTCGTCGAGGGAAGATAAATTGCGGGGCCGAAATAGAAAAAAACCATTGATATAATACCCCGCTAAAATTTGAGAGAAATTCCGGGGCAGAAATGTAAAAAGGAGAATACGAGTGGAACCAAAAAGACGGAAGTTTTGCGGTGAGCGTGGATCGAACACGCGACCTTCAGATCTTCAGTCTGACGCTCTCCCAACTGAGCTATCCCCGCGATTTTGTTAGAATCCGGAAACGCCATTACTTTAACAATAAACGTTCTGCGTCTTAAATGGCTTGAGAGGCCTTTTTTTGACTTGTTTTCAGACATTTAAAGAAATATGGGCTCAGGCAGATGATTCGGTCAAATTTAATTATATTTCTACAAATCCACCTACATTAATCATAATTTATTTACATTGAAAAAATCATACAGTAATCTATTTACATTAAAAAATCATAATTTATTGGTAATTGTTATAGTCAAATTACATGCGAAACAAATAGTTTCAAAAGGAAAAAAAATTAAAAGTTTCATAAAACTTTGTTATGGATAGTAGAGTAGGATTATTATTATTATTATTATTATTATTATATTGTAATCTAGATTTTATTAGGTGAGCGAAATTATAAGCTCCTTCGAGGTTTCTTTACGGTTCTTTTCCTCGTCGCTTTTATTGAACCGTCAGGTTAGCGTTAGGGTTTCCTTCTTCTCTATATAAAGAGATGTAACCCCATTTAGAGTAAATAAATCTATAAACAAATCAAACCCTAATTCCTTCCCCCCTCTCGGTTTGCCAATTCCCTCTTCGCCTCAATTCTTCTTCTTCTTCTTCGTCCCATATTCTCAAAGAGCTCGAAGACGCTCTAAGTCTTCCATATCTGATACGCGTTCGTATCATTGGTGCTCTCATTGAGAGACTCAAACTCAAAAAAAAAAACCCAAAAAAAAAACTCTTGGTCCTGCCGCTGCTTAAGGAAGAACCCTAGTTGTGTTGTCTTGTGCCACCAACAAAGTCCACCGTCTTGATTCCATTTTCCGCCGCCATCAACTGTTGCAATTATCCAATTCCCTCCGCCGACATCCAGATTTGAACCCCAAAACACAAAAAAAAATCACTATTGACGCATCACCAATTTTTCTGCCGCCACTGCTGATCTGTTACATTGGGGGTCTTGTAGCCGAGAATTGCAGTTATTGGATCCAGATCAACTTACTACAAGAAGAACTGGTGCCTCTTCGGCTCTTATTTTATTTTTTTGGAATTAGTGGAACTGCAGAATCTAAACCTTGGAGAACAAGAGAGAGAGAGGAATTGCTGGCCTAATTTCAGTTGACCATTGCCAAATTGTTGTGCCGCAATACTCTTGAAAATAAAGGGAGCTGTTTTCTCACTGTTGAATCGAGGTCAAAGAAGGCAGCACCAGCCCAATCGCACAGGCAAGTCAAGTCACTGTCCATCTTTCCTTCTGGGATAACTATGGCCTCGGTTGTTGATAAAATTATCTTGATAATTGAGGATGCTTTGGACAAGCTTATTGGTGTGTTGAAGAATATCTTTTATGGAAGAGTTGAGTTTCATGACGGAGTGTGTATAGCTTATGATCACGTGGATGAAATTTTGAAGACGCTCCACTTATTTCGTCATCTTTTAGATCTACCGTATTCTGATTCTGAGTTATATGCGTTCAATGTGGAAATCTCTTGCTCCATACAAGATTTGGTGCGTGGTACTCCAATGTCATTGAGTGATATTCCCTTGGAGTTAAAAAGTTTCAAAATAAGGATGATGAATGCTATAAGGAATCTTCTCGGCATTCCCATTGCTCCACCTGATTTGGTCCCCACAACCACTCTACACAATCCTACATCTATTGACATAGAATCTATGGAGCGTACGGTTGGGGATTCAGTGAGAGATCCTGCAGTTGATGCTGATGGTGTTTCTGTTGAAGGTACTGTTAATGCCTTTCCATCGGATCCTGTCACTGTTGATGCGCAGGTAGATGCACCGGGTACGGGAGAAGTTGCAAAGGATCCAACATTGAGCAATGTCATCATCGCATGTAGCCTTGTGCCTTCGTCCAAAACAGCCCAAGTAGCAGATGCAAATTATACGCAAGCGGACATCTCACTGTTCTTTAATATCATCAAGTCCTCAGCCCATGCGAATATAGTGGAGTCCGAGTATTGGGTTTCACCGCCGGTAGCTAAGTTTGTATTTGCTCTTCTCTCTTATGTCCATCGATATACTCCAATTTGCAGGCTTAATGAAGATCTATGATCAAGTGGGCTTAATCTTTGGGTCAACATTTTCTTTCCAATCTCGAAGCATGAGTGGGAGCCTCCACCTTGAGGACAAGGTGGTTTTCTAAGGGGGTGAGAGTGTTATGGATAGTAGAGTAGGATTATTATAATTATTATTATTATTATTATTATTATTATTATTATTTTTATATTGTAATCTAGATTTTATTAGGTGAGCGAAATTATAAGCTCCTTCGAGGTTTCTTTACGGTTCTTTCCCTCGTCGCTTTTATTGAACCGTCAGGTTAGCGTTAGGGTTTCCTTCTTCTCTATATAAAGAGATGTAACCCCATTTAGAGTAAATAAATCTATAAACAAATCAAACCCTAATTCCTTCCCCCCTCTCGGTTTGCCAATTCCCTCTTCGCCTCAATTCTTCTTCTTCTTCCTCGTCCCATATTCTCAAAGAGCTCGAAGACGCTCTAAGTCTTCCATATCTGATACGCGTTCGTATCAAACTTCTAAATCATACCGATGCTGGTATGTATTAGCTCTTTCCAAAATAATATTCCGACTTTCCATTCTTTAATTTCCAGAATAAATTTTTCATTTTCTTTCGTCTCGATCATATATAGTCTTACGTGCTCTTCTTTTTTAGCATAAAAATATGTAAAATTTGCACTGAATATATAGTACTAAAACATACTCCCTCCGTCTCTAAATAAACTTCACCTTTTGTTTTTTCTTTGTCCTCAAATAAACTTCTCTTTTACCTTAAAAAACCCCTTTTGTTCCTTATTTTTTCATACCCTACCTATCACATCATACCTTTTTACTAATAATCTACATATCACATCTTACTTTTACACATCACATCAAGGGTATTTTTGGAAAGTCAACACAAAAATATCCCTCTATTAAATCCTCAAAAAGTCATAAAAGTAAGTTTATTTAGGGACGGAGGGAGTATGTCATTTCATAGTATAGTACTTAAGGTTTTTTATTTTCTAAATAATACTTGAATAATGTCCAGTGACGGAAACAATGTTTAGTGATAGTAGAAATTGAGTTTAAACAATGTCCAGTAGCGGTGAACATTTTACTTGAATAATGACCAGTGGTACTACATTGAGAAATAAAAACATACATATGGTACTACATTGGTAAAATCATTATGTTTTAATAATATTTAGGTAAATTTCCCAAAAGACATTTTCACTTACAACAACCAATATTTTTTACTATAAGAGAGCATATTTCACTTAAATTATGCTAAAAACAGTATATAAATGCATTTATAGATAATTTTCTTTTACTCATTTATCTTGTCATTTTCAATCTGAGTTTTTATCTTATAAATGTTTGATATTGTCTTTGAAAAGGAACATGCCATAGCTCATGTATTATTTACGCTCAGGAACTAGTACATTATTGATGAATCGCGGGATAAAAGTTATTAACTCCGGTAAAAGCAAATGGATAATTTAAGTTCTATTTTTTTCATCTGATCTGAATGATTCTCATGAATCTGATAGGAATATGTTCTGGTTTGATCTGAATGCAGTTATATTTAAAGTTGTTTTTGATTTGATCTGAACTTAATCCAATAAGAAAAAATAAAAAGTAATATGAATAAGTTGAAAATAGCATGACATTAATCAATTAACGCTCCAACAAACAACGATTTTGATTTGGACCTTGCTACACTTACACCAACAAATATACCTCATTTGTACACCACAGGTTTGCACAAACATTTTGATGGTTTACACCGACACAGGTGTTGGTGCGTTAATAAAAATTCACACGGACACAAATGTTGGTGCGTTTAACAAAAATTAGTTTTACACCAACACAAAATGTTGGTGCAAAACTGCGGGGTACAAATTGAGGTACAAATCTTGGGGTACACATAGCATAATCCTTTTGATTTTTGATAAAAGAACAACTTTTAATACCTCCATTCCCAAATTTTACTAATGGATTACATGGAATGTTCAATGATTTCAATTAATCCCACATTCCCACATGTGTACGAAATCAAATTATTAGGATTGTTGAATATTTTGTAAAATTAATTTTGAACTAATTAAAAAATTATAGCCTATCAAACTAAACATAACATCAAAATATTGGTAATACCCTCTAGCATGTTACTCTGTGTCTGTCTCTCGAAATAAATACTAGTAACCTCCGTCTCAAATTATTTGCCACATTACGTAAAATAAAGTAAAATGTTAAGTTTTTTAAATTATTTGCCACATTACGTAAAATGAAGTAAAATGTTAAGTTTTTAAAATTCATTCTATATAAAGATTAGTCTAGATGTAAAAACATAAATTTATATATTTATAAACTCTGTAAGTCAAAAGTACGGTCTTCAAAAACAAGATCAGAAGTGACATGAATATTTTATTTTATCAAATTATCGATGAAAACATACACCATATATATACCATATCAACCCTCCCAAATGAACCCTAATATTTGGCAGGATAGAAGATGAAAAAAAAAAATCTAAAGAGACGCAAGGAGTATGGATGTGTGACACATTCAACTTCCCTCCAACCCTAATAAATTTTGGTAGTTGGTTGCTGTTAAGTGAGTATTTCAATGGTCCCAAACTATATAATGCAATAATTAATTATTATCTTTTTGTCATGTCACCGGCCGGTCGTCGGCGGCCGCTCTGTAGTATCGACGGCCCATATGTGTACACTTAGTTCATCTTTTTTATATCTAGAGGGGCTAATTGACAATATTTAGTTAATGCTATATATATCTAGAGGGGCTAACTGGAAACCTACTTATTTGGAGTTTTATACTTCTTCCCTCTCACAACAAAATATTTCTGCCCTAATTTTTTACACTCCTCAAAACTCTTCTATCCCACCATACGAAAGCTGTTTCCTAAGTTTATACACCCCCATTTCGTAGTTTAATTTATTGCATGCAGAAGCTGTTTTGAGGGTATTTTAGTCATTTTAGATAGAGTAGAAATACTTTATGAGATGCACAAAAATTAGGGCGGAAATGTTTTGTGAAACGGAGGAAGTACATTATATGTTCGAAACTTTTACCTACTTAATGATATTAGACTTTCATTTACCTTCTTTCATATCATGAAGTAGTAAGACTTGTTCCTACTACGTGCAAGAACTCTATGTTTCACATAAACATTTCACATTGTCGTTTTCAAGTGTTTTATAAGTAGCTCTTAGTTTAATGCAGTTCAACTCAAGTTCATGTCTTATAGCCAATGTAGTGACTCACACCCCATCTTAAATTCGTTTGTCTAATCTGAACAGGTTATTACTTATCTCGTTTGTCAACGTGTTCGTCTATAGCTCATTCCTAACAGCCCATGAAATTTTAGCCCAATTGTCTGTATGAAATTCATACCCAACAGTACCATATGTGCTCCATTTAACCCGATTGTTCTTTAATTTTTCATACAAAAAACATTTGATTTACACTTTGAGTTCATTTCAGATTTCAATTTCTTCTACTCTTCTAAACTAGTGCCCCAATTTTAAGTTGGATCTAGTCTTGTAGCTAGTCATGTCTCTCCCCCCATCAATATGTGATGTGTTCCCTATTCAAAGCTGCCTAAATAGATGGGATGCAGGACAGACAACATTAAATGCTGCATTTTTTTTGAAATAATGCTGCAAATTTGTAGGCAGATGAAATAGAAATTTGTACAAACCAATAATTAGTACGGACTATGCTATGTTTGTAGTTAATTTGATTTAAAATTAAATAAAGTCTTACATTAAAAATAGGAACTATATATGTTAAAAAAATTATAAAATCATCCTAAATAGAAGTAAAACAAACATATACAGAGAAAGTATTAAAATAAAAGCTCCATGTTTTTATTTTCAAAATACTCCCTCCGTCCCTTAAGAAACTTCCCATTTTGACTTTTAAATGATTTAAAAGGAGTGTATTTTGGTGTTGACTTCTCAAAAATGCCCTTTGATGTGATGGATAAAATAGGATGAGATGAGTAGATTAATAGAGAAAAAGTGCGATGTGATAGGTATGTTAAGAATTATTAGGGTAAAAGTGACTTTTTAATAGGAAAACATAAGTGTTTTTTGGGACGGATGAAAAAAGAAAGAGGAAGGATTTTGTGGAACGGAGGAAGTAGAAGTTTGCACTGTGGTAATGTGACAATGTATATGGATATTTCAAAATATTTTTAAGCAATGCATACGATCATGATTGACATTATAAATACATTTTAACTCAAATTTCGAGAACAAAAACACGGAACTGCTATTTTGGTATATTTCCAATGTTTATTCCTACTTTAGCCTTTTTCCCATAAAAATATGATATAACAAAACAATGTTTTAAAATAAATCTAATTAATTTGTTATTAAATTAAGATAAAAATCAAACTATATAGGACGATATATAATTTTTAGGAGTAAGAATAGATTTATAGGTTCAATTAATCTCAGAAGTGGAATTTGGAATAAGAGATCGACTAATGATCGAGTCTCACCAGCGGCAGTGTGAGAGTAACCTCTTAAGGAGAACTCTTTACACACAGTAAACACTGGTTTCACCTTATGGTCACAGTTGAGTCACCTTGATTTACATCCTCTCACAATTTCGTCGGGTATTGAGTGAGGAGCGCCCGGAGCGATTTTGACTTTAATTTGGAACAAGAATAGATTTATAGGTGCCGTTTATTAATGAGTATGGGGTGACGTGGTCTAATTTCTCACTTGCTATAAATAATACTTCTCCCCCATTCTTTTCCTCCAACAATCATCATTCATCACATACATTACCTTCCCTTCTTTGCCCTTGGCTTCTTTTGAATATGGAGTTTCATCTCACCATTAAAACCCTATCATTTCTTTGGGTGAGTATATATTATTCCCTCTGTTCTTAAATAAAAGTTCTAGCTAATATATATTTCAAAGCCATGATAACTATTTTTTTTATATCTTCATTGATTACTTGATAACATAATATTATCATATCAGTTTTTTATTTTAATAAATTTTTTTATATAAATTTTAAATATATAAATTTTATTTTTAAAAAAAATTCTACACCGCTTTTCAAATTATAAAATGATTTTTTAAAAAGAACTTTTTACCTAGTAACTTCCTCCAAGACTTTTATTTATGGACGAAGCCTGAGGGAATGAAGTATTTAATTTGCATATGTCAATATATCCTACATGTAGCAAGCTCCTATTTTGTATTGGTCTAAAATAAAGTTTATGTTTACTATTCACGTAATCAAATTATATATCACCTTTTTTCATACATTTTCATTAATTATTTGATAAAAGAAAATAATCAGTCACTTTTTTCTTGTAGAATTTTATGTACATACAATAGCTTTTTATTCTTAATTCTGCTCAAATTATTAAATATATACTCCTTCCGTCCCGGAAAACATTGGAGTTTTGATTTTGAAGAGGGATTTAAGGAGAGTGTATTTTGGTATTGAATTTCCAAAAATGTCCTTTGATGTGATGGGTAAAAGTATGATTTGATGGATAAATTATTAGTAAAATGTATGATGTGATAGGTAGAGTATGAAAAAGTAAGGGGTAAAAAAAACTTTTTAATAGAAATGAGAAGTATTTTTTGGGACGGATGAAAAAAGAAAGGAGAAAGGTTTTCAGGGACGGAGGGAGTATTTAATAAAAATATAATTTTAATCAAATATCATCCTTAAAAAATGAGCAAAGGCTTCCGGAAGGTAGGGTGCACTCGATCACACAAGCTCCAAATTTATAAGGCCCAATATGTTTAGATATTTATTGTTCTAATTATTTGATATTTTTAATTTCTTTTTAAAATGCATGAATATGTATTTTAATAGATAGATTGATATAATGGTGATTATTAAAAATCTAATTTAACACAAATTTTAAAGCACAAGTACTCTGCACAAAGCCCAAATCATATTTTTGCACAGAACCTTTGCTATTTTTTCTCATTTTCAGGCTCCTTAAAAACAAAAACTTTACTTTGGGATGAAAGGAGAGCCTCTTTGTGTGGCTTATTTTATACCTCTTTTATTTGCATAAATTTCAATCGTACTAATCTTTTTAAGTGAAATTTGCACGGACTAAAGTATAAATCATTTTTAAATGTAGGACTTAAATTTTTTTATTCCTTAAATATAGTACATACTTAATTAATAATTTTTAGTTGGAGGAATAATGTCCAGTGACATGGGCATTTACTTGAATAATGACTAATGAATAATGATCAATGATCTTATATTGAGAAATAAAAATGTATGGTTCTATATTGAGAAAGTCATTACTATGTTTTAGTCTTATTTAGATACATTATCCATTTTTTTAATAATGGTTGGTATTTTTCAGATAGCCGTTGCTGCAAGCCATGCAGCTCTTTCTTCTTCATCGTCGCCTATAGTGAGTTTTTGGAATTCTGAACTCCCAAACACTCCCATGCCCCAAGCTATCAAGAACTCACTCTCCCAAACACCAACTGGTTAGTCTCATTTTTTTTACTTGAGAAAACATATAAATAATTTAAACTGTTGTGTTTATACCATGTCAAAAAACTAACTCAATCAAGAGTTTAAGTTCGTAGCTGTAGGCTCAGAATAAGTTTTATACTGTAACAGAGTCGAAATATATTTAATTTGATTTTCAATATTTCATTGACAAAAATCTTTTAACATTGAGCACCAATTCCATATTATGTCATTTGTGCATTTTTAGTCTTATAGGAATTTACTTAAATAGCACTAAAAACTAAGACATAATGACTTTCTCTAAGTAACATCACATGTGTTTTTTTCTCAATGTAACACTTTTAGTCATTATGTATTAGTCATTATTCAAGTAAATATTCGTCATCACTGGACATTATAGACATTATTAAGTTCTATTTAGAGAATAAAACTGTTTAAGTGCTATTTAGGAAAATGACTTAAATTTTAATGCTATTTAGTGCAAATAGTTCATAATGAAATTGGTCAAACTAAAACCAAAACAAGAGTTTTTATGATTTTATCTCCTAAACAAAAGTGTTGGTAATTCATTGACACTAAGAAATGCCCACAATTTGACATTATGTTTTTCACCATTCATGCACAAATTTTGTTTTATTTTATTTTTTGAAAAAAAACACAATTTTTTTTGTTGGGCGTTACATTCTTATTTTTATTATTATTGTGTTGTATGTAGAGTGGCTAGAGGAGAAAGGAACATCTGTGGCAGTTGGCCAGGGAGGAGTAAACGTCAACACCGGCAAAGGGAAGCCGGCCGCCGGCGGCACGACCGTGAACGTTGGAAAGGGTGGCGTCGGCGTCAACACCGGAGCTCAGCCCGGCCAAGGGACCAACGTCGGTGTCGGCAAAGGCGGTGTCAACGTCCACGCCGGCGGAAAATCCGGCCAAGGCACAAACGTGGGCGTCGGTAAAGGCGGCGTCAGCGTCGATGCCGGCGGAAAGCCCGGCCAAGGTACAAACGTCGGCGTCGGTAAAGGTGGAGTCAGCGTCCACACCGGCAAGGGAACAAACGTCGGTGTGGGAAAAGGCGGCGTCAACGTTCACGCCGGAAAGGGAACAAATGTCGGTGTGGGAAAAGGCGGCGTCTCCGTCGGAACGGGCGGGAAACACGGGAAACCGGTCGGAGTAAGAGTAGGCGACGGCAAGAGCCCATTCAACTACAACTATGCCGCTAGCGAGGACCAGCTCAACGACGACCCCAACGTCGCCGTCTTCTTCAAGCCCTCCGCCCTACGCAGCGGGGCCCGCATGACCTTACACTTCACGAAAATCGCGAACGGCGCCGTTTTCTTGCCCCGATCTCTCTCGGAGAAAATCCCCTTCTCCTCCGAGAAGATCCCCGAAATCCTCCGCCGCTTCTCCGTCCAACCCGACTCCGACGAAGCTCGGTCGATGACTCAAACCATCAAAGAATGCGAAGACCCGGCGGTCAAAGGGGAAGAGAAAAAATGTGCCACATCCCTGGAATCCATGGTTGACTTTTCCAAGTCAACCCTAATCCCAGGGAACAAGAACAAAATGACAACAACGACCCTCCGCGCAGTTTCCACAGAATCTGCCGGAGAAGCATCATCCGTCCGTCAGAAATACACCGTCTCCGGCGTGCAGAAGATAGAGCACGCCGGAAACGGGCTGGTGGCATGCCACAAGCTGAAGTACGGGTACGCGGTTTTTAACTGCCACAAGACGACAGCGACGGAGGCTTTCACGGTCTCTCTGGTGGGAGAGAACGGGGCTAAGGTTGAAGCGGCGGCGATTTGCCACAAGGACACGGCGGCTTGGAACCCGAACCATATGGCGTTTCGGGCTCTTAAAGTCCGGCCCGGAACCGTCCCGGTGTGCCACTTCCTCCCGGAAGATCACATTGTCTGGGTTGCTACTAATTAATTAATACTCATAAAGCTTTGTGCGTGTGTTTCTTTGATTAAGGTACCCTTTGAATTATCATTTATGATTCAATCGGGATACATATATATGTGTAGTGTTTTTTCTTCATATAAATCGTACTTTGCGTTTGTTTGTAGCAGCAGCAGGCTTGTTAGCCGCTATATATTTGTATGTTTAATAATATGAAGGTATGTTTATTATAAACAAAAATATACTCCCTAAAATACCTTTCTATGTGTTATTTTTGATATTTTGCATCGGTTCCTTACATATGTAAAAAGTAGTGATGTAACTGATTTATATATTTTTTACATCGGTTGTTTAACCGATGCAAAAGACCTTCCATGCGCTCTGGTAAGGCTTTTGCATCAGTTTTGAAATAACCGATGCAAAAGAGCTTCCCGCTAATTCGAAAAGCCTTTTGAATCGGTTATTCTAAAATAACAGAAGCAAAAGGTGCCACCTAGAATTGGCGCCAATTCTGGGAAGAACTTTTTGCATCAGTTATTCTGGAACAACCGATTCAAAAGGTGCTACCCAGAATTGGCGCCAGTTCTGGGTAGCACATTTTGCAAATAACCGATGCAAGTGATATTCCTTTTTACAAAGCAGCAGAACAGAATAGAACAAAGCAGGATGAAACTCAACTGAACAAAACAACATAAGAGATTAGCAATGTTTTTAACAAAGTGCACCACAACATAATAACTATACAATATATTCAATTCAACGAAACAATCACGCGATTCAATGCATAAACTTTAATTGCATATACAATGGTTTTACATATTAGGTTGCTATAAGCTAATCTAATAATAAAAGTAATACATAGTTATAACTTTTTTGAGAAAACTTATAAAGTTACTAACAATAAAGTTAAATTTTATTTATAATATTAAACAAAACTAACCAACAATGGAGTCATATGAATGAAACTTATCTTAAACAATATCATCAAGAAAATCACCGGCAAAAATTCTCTAATCTCGTCAAGTTGGTCATACGATACGTATATATACAGCATTGTAGAGTCAAAGGCCTACAACAACAACAACAAGAACAACTACAAAAACTTAAAAACTCAATTCAACAAATAGTTCACAATAACCAAAACACTTACAATAAAACAAACATTTTAGCTAATCTTACAAACATAAATCTAAAAAAATTAAAGTCAACGGTTTTACTCTATATCATAAAACAAAATATCTTAGCTGCACTACATATTTTGTGCACGTACAACGAACTCTTATGCAGCTACGTGATGAAGTTTTGGAATTGGGCGTCAATGCCTCTTCTTTTTTTCTTTTTTTTTTCTTTTTTCTTTTCTTTTTTCCATAAAGAGAAAAAATGCTTGTATGTGAAATAATGAAAATCTGTTTTTTCAAACCTACATTCTAAAAAAGTTTTAAAAACAAAAAAAAATGTTTGTGTATGAAAATGATCCAACAAAGACCTCTTTTGGACAAAAAATGAAAATATTTAATTTGAGACGAATGAAATATACGTTAATTTTTGTTATTTAATTGATTTTTATTGCGAACACAAAAAATTAATTATTAAAACATTATAAAAAATAATTTTAAAAAAGGAACTAAAAGGCATTTATAAAAAAAGGTAGTAGAAAAAAGAAAACTAAAAAAGAAAAGAGGAGGGGTGTGCCAATTTTCAAAACCATATGGGTACTGAGTATGTATTCACATAATATTTAAAGAATATTTTAGTCTAAATAATATTAGCGTTACAATATCAAAACCATATGTATCAATTTTCAAAACCATATAGTGCAGTTGAAGTATTCAGAAACTATAAAGACACGAGGGTAGGCATAAATTTCGAAACTATAGAAATAATCCTTTTCCCCAGCGCAGGCCAATTTGTTCGCTCTGTTATTGTTTTCATCCTTTCCCCCAGCGCAGGTCAATTTGTCGGACTCCAGGGTCGCAGTTCAAGGCATCTCTGTCAGGTGAGTTCCAGATCCCTTTTTGTGATTGTCTTCAGTGTGGTTTGGGGGAGAATCTAGGTTTCAATTTTGTTGATTGGGCTGTTCTGGTCCGCCTATTTATGTGTTCTTCTTCTCAATTGGATTCAAGTTCTTATTGATCTGCAAAGGAGTACAGATTCCATCTCAATTCTCGTTTTACTTCTAAATCACATTGATTGTTGATGTTACAGGTGTGTTTTCCTAGGCGAGTTTGCAGATTAGGGTTCTGGGCATTTGTTTTAATCTGTATTGGATAATAAATCTTAGGCAGGAGACATTTACACTGTGTTTGGTTTGTGGATTTCGGTAGGGAAAGGAAAAGAAAACAAGAGAACACCAGAAAAAACCAAATTGAAAACGAGAGAAAACCATTTTTCCTTTCTTTTTCCATCCAAATTCTTGAATCAAACATAGTGTTAGGTTTATTTGAGCTTCTAAATCAAGACTGGTCAGAGTTCATTCCATGAAGGGCTTTGTTAAGAGATTTTGCCCCCAATGTGGGGCAAAAATCGTTCTGATAACAAAGTCGCTTAGGGGTTTTATCCGCTATGTCAATCTCATTGTCTGATGTCTTTGAAAATAAATCATTGCGCTTTATAGCAGTAACCATTTATACATACTGACTTTCTTTGTATTAACAGCTTGGTACTCTCAAAAAACTTACAATCCCTATAACACATATCTCTAACTCATTGAATTAATAAGAGTAATCAGTACCTCTCATTCACTGTCATACAACTTGAATCCAACTCTAATTTAAACTTTAATTTTTCAAATATTTCCGCGTATTACATTTTCCTACATAATAAAAAACTAAAATAACTCTGTGTTACCAATTTATCATTCTCAATCTCCGAAGGATTAAAAACACAACCCAAAAAATTCAAAAAATATATTAATAAAATGTGTGTTAAGACATAAACAAATTCTACAGTAACTTAAATCTTAGGCATTGTATATTAACAGGGGATGTTAGCAGTAGAACAAGGCAGATAGTGAACTCACTTCTTCCTTCCGTTTAACCCGGAAGCCAAAGTCAAGCGCTCAATTTTCTAGCCCTAATCTTCCTCGTTCTTCTGTTGACATCCCCTGTTAATATACAATGCTTATAAGGTAAGTCACTGTGAAATGTGTTTATGTCTTAACATATACTCCCTCCGTCCCTTAATATATCTCACAATTTCTTTTTCAGCAGTCGCGAGAACTTTTGTTTATTTTTACATTTTTATTGGTTACTCCCTCCGTCCCCCAGTTTTTGTCCACTTTTGACTTTTGGAACTGTTCATCTAAGCACTTTGAATCATCAAATTCTATCAATGTCTAAACCTAAATATAGTCATGTGTGATCTTGTTTGATTTGTCTTAACATATAGATTATTAATATATAATTTCTATAAGTTTTTAATATACAAATTACAAGATAAAATGGATTAAAGAAGTGCATTGGATGGTGTGTAAAAATGAAAGTGGACAAATACTCTGGGACGGAGGGAGTATATGATAAAATAAAATATTCTTGACACGTCTTATTTCGAAGAACTTTTTATGTAGTTTTTTGATATGTAAATTTTATTTTTTATTTCTATACTAATATGTAAATAAAATCAATTGAAAAAACTTGATATTTTACCTCGGTAATAGAAATGTGAGATATATTTAGGGACGGAGTGAGTATCTTATTAATATATCTTTTGAATTTTTTGGGTTGTGTTTTTTAATCCTTGGGTATTTGAGAATGGTAATAGAGTTGTTTTAGTTTTTTATTTTTTGGTTTTTTCTTGTGTAGGAAAGTGAAATATGCATAAATAACTGAACAATTGAAGTTCAAATTAGAGTTGGATTCAAATTGTATGACACTGAATGAGAGGTACTCCTTATTGATTTAATGGGTTTGAAATATGTGTTTTAGGGGTTGTAAGTTTTCTGATATTCCAGAGGTCTTTTGCCCCGTGAATCTCTGTCCTCTCTTAGAAGTTGAAATTAGTAACAAGTTTGACACTGTTTGAGAGTATCAAGCTCTTAATAGAAACATAGTCGGTATATATTATTGGTTACTCTTATAAAGGGCAATGGTTTATTTTCAAGGACACAGACTATGAGATTGACATAGCAGAGAAAACCCATGAACCTTTTTGATATCAGAATGATGTTGGCCTAAATCTCTTAACATAGCCCTTCATGGAATGAACTCTGACTAGTCTTGCCTTAGAAAAAATAATTGCGAGATTTACAACGTCAAGAGTCTTGACTCCCTAGACCCGAATATAGTTGTGATTATCCTGGGATTGTTGTTGCTTGCTAGGCTTATCTGGTTTGTTCTGATTATTTTCCTTAGCAAATTTTGACATCAAGTGACACTTGATTTTCTCAAATCTCATTTGCAGGCCAGATTAACACCATTGTCAGAACAAGCTAGAGTGACATCTTGACTCAAACATCTCTTGTCTGCATGGATCCCTTCCAAGCAGCAGATGTTCCCTCAAACCAGGAAGCTGTTGTAAGGTCATCTGAGCCAAACACTTCCCCCCACGTGGCCCGCGCGAAGAAGCTCTTACACAGAAGAATGCTGGTTGGTGTCAACGACGGTCGCTTCTTTGCTGGCTCCTTCTACTGCATTGATAAGCAAGGAAACATCATTCTTCAGGACACTGTTGAGTACCGCAGCACGCGGCGAGACGCTTCTCCTTCTTCTTCCCCTATGGAGCAGCGATGCCTCGGCCTCATTCTCATCCCTTTCTCGTGCCGCACTTCGTGCCACGTCGACTGCTCCGTTGAAGAACAGTTGTCTCTCATGTCCTTGTATGAGGTTAGTTCGAAACCGTGACCACTCGTAATGCTGCTTCTTTTAGATTTAATCGGGTTTGTTCACATATAACCGAATGGGTAATGAGTCAATGTTCTGGTCAATGGGCATGGAGTCGGTTAGTGTGTTTTACATATTTACTTAAAAAAAACATTTGGGTAGTTTCTCAAAGCACTCATTGGTAGTTTCTAATAGAGGTGTGCTGGTTTGTAATAGGTGTGTGGGTTTGTAAAAGTTGTGCCAGTTTGTTCTCTATTTAGAAATTGAGTATTCATAGTTTAATACATCAAAAATCGGTTCCTCCAATTTTTTTTTTAAAAAAATTAGGTAATGTATATGTGGTTGAATGAAGCAATTATATTTTTTTTTTCAACATGAAAAACAACCTTTAGGTCTTAAAAAATTGAAAGTGAAATTTTTTTTTTACTTTCATAAGTTGGTGAAACTGTTAAACTGCAAAATCCTTACTTGCTCAATTTTCATATTTTGTCAAAACAATATTCCATGAATTCATTGATTCGCCTTACTATTTCAAATTGAGTTTTTCATTTACCTTATGTTTGGTTCAAGGAATTTGAAAGGGAAAAAAAAGAAAATAAAGCGAAAAATTGATTTTCATGTTTGGTTAGAGAGGAAAAGAAGGAAAAAGTGGAAGGAAAAGAAATTAAGAAGGCAAAATGTATTAAAAGATGGGAAAATCAAATTCCTTTCATTTTGGTGAGGTAAGTGTGAGAAAGTCATTTTCTTTTCTTTTCCTTCCAAAATTCTTGAACCAAACATGGTGTTACTCTCTTAATTGAAGAAATAAAAAATTTATAGTAGGAGATCTAATGTAAAATATTCAATACTTTAAACAATTGAAAACTTATTTTTAGACAAACCATTAAAATAAGTAAATTTTACTTTGAGATAATTGAAGATATGAAGTACTATTTTAGTTTCTTAATCATTTGAGTTCAATTAGGATTTGGGATATAAAAGATTGGTAGTACATATTTGTTCTCCAAGTTTCTTTCTTAATGCATGCCCGATTAAACCCAAGTAAATAATAGCATTTGAATTAATAATAGCACATTAACATAATCTAAATAAATCAATGCTTTAAAAATTTGATATATTAAAACTATATGCTAAAATGAACACAATTAAATTGAGTTTATATTATAATTCAATGTTAATGAGTACCGTCGAAAGGTACTCATTAATGTAAAAATTATGAACACAATACTCAACATTTGATATTAGAGGATTAGATGTTGAAAAACACTCGGTTTGAATAACAAATTAAATCATTTATTCTAAAAAAATAATTTAAAACGAGAGTAATAATGCTTTGAAATGATAAAAATCTCACAACAAGTTTGGTTTGAATCGGATTAGGTGAATAAAACAAAACCTTAATTTGGGTTGTAATAAAAAATTAACCAATTTATGATGTAATTTTCTCCCCATGTGTTGAAGTAAAATCAAATTGAACAATAATTATTAAAATTACACAATTTAATTATTATTCTTCAAAGACATGGGGAGACATCACACGATAATATGGTTAGACAAATAACTTCACAAAATCACAACTCCTATGCACTTGCCAGCAAATAATTAAGAGGAAGAAACGCGCTCATAATTACGGTGTGGGAATATTTGGATCAGATTTAATAAAAGGGTTGTGTTGCCTTACTTGGATTCATATGCGAGTATTACTACTTCCGTCCCAAAAAATTTATCTAGTTTAACTTTTTTTCAATTAACTGTTTTAACCTTTGATCCATAATAATTGAAATACTCCCTCCGTCTCTCTAAGATCTTCTCGTTTTGATTTTTTGTGGTTTTAAAGATAGTTGAAAAAAGTAAAATTTTACCAAAATACCCTTAATGAAAATTGATAGAGTGTATTAAATGAGGTAAGTGGGGTGAATAAATGGGGTAGTTGTGGTATTTTAAATGTTACGAGTAAAAAAATAATGAGAATATATATGAGGGAGAAATAAAAAGGACTAATAGAAAGACTTATGAGGAATGGAGGGAGTATATATTTTAAATAAATTAGATAAAATAATATTATGAAAATTTTTTATATAAGAAATCTAATAAAACTAGTTGTATATCAATATCTAATATTATTTTTATATAATTTAAGGTAAAAAATTATCAATTTTGACTGAATAAGTTAAAATAAACACATACTCAAAGATGAAGAAGGGATATATTTTGGCTCAATATCTCTTGGTCAGAAGAAGTGAAGTTTCTTATCATCATCAACCAATAAAGACTTTCGGTGTCCAGTACCATCATTGTGACTTTCTGAAATGAGAAATAAGAAGTTCAAACCCTTGTGGAGGTGAGAATGTATAAACAGACACTACTCCCTTTATCGTAATTTAAATTATCTGTTACGGTTTATGATGTTAACCAAAATTATTTTCAATTCATTTAATATAGAAATTGGTATAAAATTTTAAAATAAGATTTTCAAATTTCAAAACTAAATCAAAAGTTCTATAAAAAGAGATGACATTATTATATTATTTTATCAAATGAATACCTAAAATGAAAAATTGAAGTGGTTTCACTTTGACCTTGTAAATAGTAAACATACAACTTAAATTATATCAGAGTCAATTACTAGTGTTAAAATTTTAAAAAATACTCCCTCCATCCCAAAAAAGTCGCATGTTGTTGTTTATCAGGTTTAACTAGAGTTATTTTCAAAAAAAATTTATTTAAAAATTGACAAGGAATTAAAAAATAAAATTTATATATTTAAAAACTACATTAAAAGTTTTATAAAATAAAATGTGACAAAACTAAATTGTTTTTCTCAAGTGAGTCAAGAACGTGGTTAAAGTTTAACACTGTGAATAGTGAACATTAAACAGACACCTTAAATTGAGACAGATAGAGTAACTAAGTATTTGTAAATATGTACCGTATGAAGAGGGGATCAAAAGAAGTTGAGTTGAGACCCCATATTTGCTCAGCTATATTCATCGTTAGAAATGAAGGGGATGGAAGAGTGGCTGGGTGGACCATGTGTGGGTTTTAGAAAGTATAAGGGTATATTGGACAATTTACACACAAATTTACGAAATAAAGAAACGGGAAGGAAATTTTTGGACTACCCAAAGAATAGTGGGAAGAAAAAAATGGACGGAAGGAGTATTTATTATAACTCGCCGTTGAAAAATGATTGTACAATATTCAGATATCTATGGTCTGTATACCAACTACCAAGTCATATAATCCTTTTGGTCAGTATATAAATCAGCAACAGCAACCCAAGCCATCTCTCATGAATCAGTTTCATCGCCCGGGGCCCAAATGCCCAAAGCGTCTTGTAAACACAGATTGCATTAGAACCGGGATCAAGAAAAGTCGCTTTACCACGACGTTACAAGTTCACCTGAATCCATTCCAGCCTGTGTCATGTGAGTGTGTTTGTGTGTGTGAGAGAGAGAGAGACTGTAAAAAAGAGCCAAATGCAGAGAAGTGTTATCAAAGTTGTTTTAGGTATCTTCGTTCTAGAATAATTGTCCAGTTTGATTTTTTCAAGTCAAACTTGTATCATCAGTGACATTGTATTAAAACAATTACGGAGTAAATTATTTTAAGAAAGTTTTTTAAGAAATCACCCAAATAGGAGAAAAAAATACGGAGTAGCATTTATCTCCAAAATAGGAGTTTTTTGGTACTATATATAGGGGATAAAAAAAACATGAGCTCCCATTTTGGGACTTTCTCCATGTTTACTCCTAGTTTAGTCCTTTTCCCAAATTTCTTAAATGATAAATCTAATGAAATCATTTTTGTGTTCGTATGAAATACAATTGTTATTAAATCGGTGATCAAATTTCGCCCAATTTGACTACAGAAAGTCAAACGGGACAAACGCTCTGGAACGAACGTGGTATGTGTATGCTCAATGTGCAAAACAACTCACAGTGAGAACCAATGGGCAAATAGTTACCTGTTATGAGCTCAGAAGCCATCAATAATTTAAGCTGTTGGGGAAGTTGTTATGCCATGTTCCATGGCCTAAAATAAGCCCTTCTGAGGCAAATGAAGTGAATTTGCCCAGCTCTATAATCGCGGTTGAAACGATGGGAACTTCGAATTCTTCAAAGTCATGGAGGCCCTTTAAGTACAGGAAGCTTGGCTGAGTGCCATTGTCGAATAACATATTATTCGGCCTATGATATACAGCGCAAACAAGAAAATATCAGAGCCCTATACAGCAACAACATATCCATTAAAATCCCACAAAAAAGTAGGAGTAAAATCCCATAAAAAGTAGGAGTGAAGTCCCACAAAAAGTGGGATCTGGAAAGGGTGTGTGTACGCAGACCATGCCCCTACCATGAAGTAGAGAGGCTATTTTCAAGAGATCCTCAGTTCAGATACAATGCAGAACCATATACAACAAGAAAATGTAAATAAAAAACTTTACCTTTAGCCATGAATTGCTAGTACGTGTGTTCCCCACCAGGCAATCGAATGCAGATCATTGAAGCCCTATTGAGTAGGTACAGTAGCATCGTCACTGGAACCTTCGATGTGGAAAGGTTCCAATGATCCCCATGTTCTTCCAACCATTAGCTTGACGCGAAGGGGTACTGAAATATCAAACGTACCAGAGATAAATCTACTTGAACAAAAGGCTTCTAAGAAGGGGTAGCAGAAATCGAATTGTTCAAGAATACTTGAAAAGGAAGCAAACACCCTAACACAAAAGCAGGGTAAAGTAATGTTATCAATAAGAAAGGGAAATTGCAGATTGAGAAAAGCTACCCCCCCCCCAAAAAAAAAAAGGCATTGTTATCTATAATTTTCTCCATCATTTGCAGTTGTGTACATATGGATATGTACCAAGGAGTGAGGCTGCATTTTCCATGCTTGTACGTAGCAGCACTCCAGCTTCCTTGATAACAGAAGGATCAACTTCAAGGACCAATTCATCATGAACCTGTACAAAAAAATGGGGGTGGGGGTGAGAAAGAGAGATTCTTGCATCAAAGATTTCTAGGGCAAATCTAAATGTCAAGAAAAGCTTGTAAAGCTTAATGGTTAGAAAGGTCAATGAAGTCCTGAATATGAACGTGTGGCAAAATGTATGGCTAGCACACTTTATATGCATATTGTATGGAGTTTACAGCAACCTATTAATTACTCCCTCCGGCCGAATTTAGTTGTCCATTTTTTGTGTTTTCGTTTGTGTGGGATGAAATGTCTAAAATATCCTAGAAATAGGGTATGCACATTGTTGAAATGAATGGGTAGCAAGCACGTTTGAAAGACTTGACATTTTAAACTTATTTGTTAAAAGTGAGTTTTTTTTAAATAGAAAGTAGACGATTAAATCCGGACGGTGGGAGCATAATCGTATTTGATACTTAAACAAGACTGATAGAATTTAGGATGGGGTATATAACAATCATTCCTGGGCCACAACCACAAGTTTGAGCTTTTGGTTGAATTGGTTCCTTGACATGGTATCAGAACCTTGATGACCAAGAGGTCACGAGTTCGAAACTCACCGCCACCCAGTTTAAAAAAATTAAGGTTTCACATGCAAGGCCTAAAGAGGTCACGCCTGCACGTGAGGGGGCGTGTTAGAGTATATAACAATCATTCCTGGGCCACAACCACAAGCTTGAGCTTTTGGTTGAGTTGGTTCCTTGACAAAGACAATATGTTGGGTGGGCTTAAATCAATAGATCATTAGATATATTGATTATTACCTGTAGGACGATTTGACATCTCCCTTTAAGCATGCCAATGTCATAGACGATTGCAGAGTGAAGACGTATCATTGCAATTTTAATAATGTCAGCAGCAGATCCCTGAAAACGGTATGATATGATTGATGCCATATCCATTACAAATATTTTTAAATAAATGGAAAATATCAATAATTAGTAGTAACAACAACAAAAAACACTTTAATTACAACAGCAATAACAAATTAAGAGCAATAATACTCAATAATAATAAGGAATGAAATGAGAAATATGCTGCACTAAGGAACACAGTTACCTGACAAATCGAATTCACAGCCTGCCGCTGAGCTTTAGATTTTTCCTTACTGTCCCCGCATTTGATCTTTGACAAGAAACGCTTTCGGCCATTAAGGGTCTCTACATAACTGCTCCATTGAAGTAATAAAATTTGATTAAGGAGAACGAATGGATCCTCTATTACAAAAAACATGAGAAAGTTGATAAATCTATGTTCATCAAAAGGCAGAATATTGATGCTCTGATCAAGACTAAAGTTAGTTTCTCCCTTCAGTTTCACACTAGTAGAGATAATTTCAATTTTAAAATTTGCATAAGTTTGTATGGTTGTAGCAAAACCAATTCGCTATTCCATTCTCACCCCTTCTCACGACAGAAAGAAACTGCTTCTTGTAGCCAGGAGGCAACACCGGGAAAAGAGCCTTTAAAGCTTTGAATTTTTTCAGAAGCTTCATCTATACTGCAGTCCAGTTGTTCTGCAAGAGATTTGGCTCCCATTCCATACAGAATGCCATAAATCAACCGCTTTGTTTGGTCTCGCTCTTTCGAGCTAACGCTAGACTCCAATTTCCCTGTCCACCTCGCTGCAATCATGGTGAAAGCATCACCATGGGGATTACTTAGGAGCTCAATCAAAGAAGAATCTTTAGAGAAATGAGCCATGAGTCTCAGTTCTATCTGAGAGTAGTCTGCTGTTAGAAATACCCAGTTCTCCTGAAAATTGAGAAAAATAGAAGAGCTTCAAGTGTAGAAAATGGTTGCTAACCAAGAGGAAAAAATATAATTGTAATCTTTGGGTTCAAAAACTTAAAAAATACCTGAGTAGGCAAAAAGAAGTCATGCGCATTGATCTTGTAATGATCAGCATCTGACTCACCATTAGTTTTATCAGCGTGATTCATTTTGAAGTCAACCATATGCTCAACACACTGTTTACCAGAAAAATATTATGGAAGCAAAATTAACCTGTGCCCCTTAATAAAAGAGTAAATTCCCAAAATGGTCCTTTCTAATAAGGTGTTTTCCCAAATCAATCCTCAATAAGTTTTAATTACTTATGTGGTCCTCTATAATTGAGATTTATTCCATAAGTAGCCATTCCTAAATAATGTTACTCAAATGATGATTAATTGGGGGTATTTTGGTATTTTTATGAGCTAAATTTAGAATAAGTTTCTAAAATGGTCATTTCTAATAAAGTGCTTTCCCAAAATGGAATTTTCTAATTAAAGATGTGTACTTGATTTGAATTTTAAAAGATTTTCTAATAGGTTTTTAATAATTCATGAGTTATGTATAGTCAATGTATTGCTTATTTGCTTAAAGTTTGCAATTAATTGTGTAGAAATGATCATTTTGAGAATATACTTTAAATTTAGTTGATAGAAATACCAAAATACCATTTAATTAATCATCATTTGAGTAACATTATTTACAAAGGACTACCTAAGATTCACTATTTTTTGGCTTTGGGGTATGATGGAATAAAGCAAATTGCACTTCTTGCAATTGTGAACAAGCAGTTAGTCAATGCAACTTTCAACGCTCATCACGGGTCATCTGAAAACAGCCGCTCTATGTTTTAAACATAGGGGAACTGCGTACATCCGACCCTCCTTACCCCGCAATGGGCGGGAGCCGTTGAGGCACTGGGGTAATGTTGTTGTATTTACAAAGGACTAACTAAGGAATAAATCTCAATTATAAAAGACCGTGTAGGTAATTGGAACTTATTGAGAACTGAATTGGGAAAATATTTTATTACAAAGGACCATTTTAGGAATTTACTCTTAGGGTCCGTTTGGTATAAGGAATTGGTGGAATTGGAATTGAATTGGAATTGAAATTCCATGGGATTCAATTCCATAGAATTGAATTCTGTCAATTTCAATTCATTTTTTGCACTATCAATTCCAAATCCACATAATTTTTGTGCTACCAAACACCAGAATTGGAATTGAAGTCTCCAATTCCAATTCCATAGTTTGAATTCCATGTACCAAACGGAGCCTTAATAAAATCATCATCCAGCAGTGATGGCAGTAACAAACCTGAAGATTTGGTTCCTCCATCGAAAGTCGTCCTGTACCTGTTGACGTCTGAAGCCAATGACCATGCAATGTGTACCTCTGAGTCCTCATAGATAGCCTAGCAAGTGAACTAATTGAACCTAATGTACAATTCAAGAGTTTTGCCAGTGTCCTGTGCTCTTTGATGACTGGAATAATGGGATGCTCATTCCTATAAGTGAACAATAGTCAAGCAAAGAAAGTAAAGCTAGCATAAGGAGCATTCATAACAACAAAGCATATGCACACAATATACATCAAGGTCTACAAAATAAAATAAAAAGATTCAGCTTTTTGGATAGAGTTTAAAATATCAGGGCTGCCAAGTTGGCTAAATTAATCAGAGCAAAACATTTGGTGATTTGAAACATTTAACATAAATAAGAACACAGCCAACATAGGGCAGAAAAGCTTTTTAAACACATACAAACTCGCAAGTTGAACATACCATTCAACCTACACATAAAACTTCTGCTTAAAACCATAAGACAAAAAAACTTTTTCAACACACAAAAAACTCATTTTTCAGTTTTCGATACACTTCACATCAGTGGAAAATGCATCATTATATCCACAGAAAGGCAGTTGATACACTTGAGTACCTTAGCAAATCCAAACAATGTTTATCAGTGCTGGGGTGTTGTTTCCCTTTTCCATCTCTCTTTGGAATAGAAAGCTTTAAGTGGTTATAAAGTACATTTGCAATATCAGCAGCTGTGCTTAATGAAAAGGTCATGCCAGCCAATGTATAAGCTTCCCTCTCCAAACTTTTTAGCTTCCTTCTCAGAATTTCACGACCTTGTAAGCATCCTTCCATGTCAACACCAATTCCCCATAACTCCATATCAGAAAGAACATCAACCTGAAAAGGAAAAATGCAAAAAAAAAAAAAGAAAAGAAAAAAACAGATACAGGATGAGATAGAAAACAAAAAAAATGCTGATTCGCTTTCAATGATCAAGAAATATCATTTCACTTTTAAAAAATGTTACTAGGGAATTTCTTGGTACCAAAGAATGAATGAGTTTGTGGGCAAAGAGCTAATTCAATTTCCATCATTTTTGATACATGGGTTAAATATCATCATAACAATCTCAAAAAAGTACTTATTGATCCACTTTGTTACCGCAATCAGAAAAATTAGAATCAGCATGCATACACTGATCTTCATATATTGTTTGAGATGGAAGCGGCTCACTGGTTTCTTAATTCTTAAAACGGAGTACATAGTTTGGTCACAATCAAACTAAATGTCAGCTAGTAGTCAGAGAGATTTGAAATTGCGCAAAATACTAAATTATGGCACCTAGACAAGGATGTAGGTAAATTTACCAATGGCATCTCCACATCTGTGAGAGCCTTAAGAAGACCTTCAGATATTAATAGTTTCCACAGAATCGAACACAAAGCACGTGTTTGTGCAACTCGGCGGCAACAGCCATTATGAGCAGCACTTCGCATCTGGTTCTTCCATCTACCATTCTGATTAGCAGCTGCAGCTGCCTCACTCGATAACCTCTTCTTCACCTCCTGTTAACAAATAAAAACCAAAAAATCAAACATAAGGATAAATTAGAAACAAATATGGAAGATCAGAGTGCAATCATATCTTTATCCAGTACGTCCATAACTAGCAAAGCAGCAGCTTTTATAGGATTTGAAGCTATATGATGATAAATAGTCAATGTATGTTGCTAAAAGGATGTTATATCCAATTTAAAACTTGATACCCTGATCCCTTAAAGGATACAGACTGAAAAGTTTTGTTATTAATAGAACACCACACATAGAGCATCATGAATACTTCATCCCAAGCAGGTCCTTAACAACTCAACTCTAAACTAATAGGAGCAATGAACCCCATAGGGATACATGATTCTGAGGGATGATGGTACAAAATTGTGGAGATTCCTTCGCATGCATGCTAAATATGTGCACTACACAATCCAATCACTTCAAAATTACATTTACCTTTTCCAGACTAGGACTAGAACCCTTCACCTCATCAGGCCAAAGTGTCCATGCAACAATGCAAAGATCAACTGCTTCTTGCAAATGAACGGGTGACAAAACATAGTAAGAACCTTCTATTAGATTCAAGTCCGCAGCTTTGGCAGCAGCATTTACGGAACCAAATCTTAGAATGGAAACAGCAGGGTACTTAAGCACCTGAATCTGCTTTTTTAAGTTCCAAGTGAACTTCTTTACATTCTTTTTACCCATTATAGTTCTTATTCTATCCCATCGTTGCAATGCCATTTCACACTGATTCTTTGGTGATGGAGCATCATTATCCCCAGAAGCAATGGGCAGCAGAAGTTCCCTTCTGATGTTTGACCGGAACAAATCTTTGGGAAAACTAACATAATACACAGGAGAGTTTTGCCAACAGATTGCTATGCCATGAATTTCAAAAGGCAGAATAGCATTCAGTTCAGATCTTTTGGTAAAGTGGATATCAAAGTAAAAATCTCCAGCAGTGTCCCAGAGATCCAAAAAATTATCAAATCCCCCAGCACTGCTAACTGCATTAATTGGACCCTTCTTTGGAGTATTATTGTCATTTGTTTTACTTGTTCCATTTTTGTCTTGCAGCTTCTGCGCAGCATGACCAACATCCTCGTTGTAGGATTTTCTTTCATTCTTTTTTATCTCAAGAGGAATAGTGGTTGTTTTAATTTCGGAACTGAGAATTCTATACCCTTCTGCAACTAAAACGGGCTCATCAGCCACAGCATCACATCGTATAGAAAATCTCTCTTCTGATTTATCTTCTCCTGTTTCTGAAATAGAACCATTTTTCTCATTAATCCCTTTTGTGAAAATATATATTGCATTGAAGGAATTGTTAGAATACATTGGCTTTATTTATATTAATAATCTAGGGTTAAGTCCATTACAATTAATCGGAAAAAAAGATAAGTCTTCTTTCTATCTCCCCCGTCTTCTCTCTCTATCTCGCGCGTTCCCTTGCGCTTCTAAAACGGAGCTGCGTCTCCGAGATGGAGACGTTTCCGTACAACACAGAGTCGCCCATGGAAAAAAAAGCTAAGCGACCAATTTGGCATCCACAAAACCTCCCCCAGACGCCAAAGCGTCGACTAGGCGACGCCTTGATAACTATGCACACCATATGCCCAAACTCCCCCTGAGAAACAAAGTCTGGTGAGTGGTGATTACTCCATAAAAGTGTCTTCGAGAAGATCATCATGAAGGAAAGTATCCCGAATAGTAATACCATATTGCTGCCAGTAGGCAAATGAGGTAATGTTGAGATACTTGGATTACCTTAAGTTTTTTAGGGTATTTTTTGATTACTTTCAATTTTCAAAATAATCTTTTTTGTTTACTCTAAAGAAGATCATTAACTTTCTAACATTCTAATGTTATGCTCTCATCATCTCACATTACCTTCCATGAGATTATCATAAATCTTTAAGGGAACCAAAATTACCAAATGCCGGCAGGTTAGGGTTAGCTTAGGGTTATCTGATAGAAAAACAATTTTTATGCAACAAAATCGTACACTAACACACACGGGCTAAATTTTTGTTCTCGATACATTGATCTCTCTTGTCTGTGCAATGTTTGTGCGCGCACAGACAAGACATCTCAGATGTCTGCAAGAATAAAAACTTGAATGAGTGTACTGGTGTATAAGTTGGTGTATAGCTTTTGTGGTACAAAACTACGAATAGCACAATCGTATCTGATGTTCCACACCTTACTTGCCTGATGTTGAAATAGCACGGTTTATCTGCCTTGCAGGAACAAAATTGCTAGTTGACTTTTCTCCAGATGAGGTGCTCGACTCTTTTCGATCAGCATTTGTTGCAGCAGCTGAGAGGAGAGGTGGGACATCAAGTCCAAGTGATTTGAAGGCTGAGAATGCAGCAATTCTTGCCTCTTCAGCTTTCTCAAGAACAATCTTGCGGGCACCATTTTTAATCTTTTTGGCAACTCCCAATTGCATCCTCCGCTGTACAAATCCTTTTAAAATGAAAGCAGAATTCTTCAGGTTAGATATCACTAGTAGAAAGTGACTTTAAATATGAATAAATAATAAAAAATGATTTAATAGCACTACGGCCACTACCTTGTTCAGACCATGATGAAGATTCAAAAAGTGCTTTTACAATTTCAGGAAGCGATGCTTCTGCAATAGCTTGAGGAGTCCGCAAACCAGATTTGTAAAGGGCCCGGGCCCGGGAACCCTGATAATCAGATTTGTCCACAGAATTGTTTATTAAATATATTGATTCTTTATTTATTTATATGCAAGGTAGGAAAAGTACTTCATTACCTTAACGTAAGGTATGTTAGTGAGCTCCACAATCTCTGCCCTGACTCCAAATGAAACACGGTTTTGGAATTTGGATACTAGGCCTTCAAGGTCCTGCCAACCTAGTCTTTCGCAAAAGACAGCCACCATGGATGCAAACCTCCCTCCGTTTTCTTGTAGTCCTTGAACCATGCCCCTTGTCACTTTGAAAGCATTGCATACCTCTGGAACAGGAACTTCCTTCATTCAATCATAATAGCTTTTTTTAGGTATAAAGATATGAGAGACAAAATCTCAACACAGTGAAGCAATTCTAAACAAGTAATTACTCCGTAACTCACTTCAACCTCACATGTTAAGGAAACAAAACAATTACAAAAACAAAAGAGGCCAAGATATTCCACCTGTACGAGTCTTGTTAGTATTAGAGCCACAAAGAATCTTCTAGACACTCGCAGCACTTGTTCATCTGAAAGCATACCATTGTTTGAAATCCCAATTCTGCAGTCAGGCTTTACCTGAAACCCCTTAGTAGCCTCCCTAGATTTATTGAAGCTGCGACCTGGAACAGCTCCATGTGCCATGCGCATCAAAAAGGGTTCATGAACCCCAACCCGATTGCCAACAGACTGCACCTCATAAATACAGGGAAGCATATGTTAAATCCACTCGTAAGATATAATTATGTCATTCTTCTTAACCAAGCTACGGCAACTCTGCAAGTAAAAACTGTTTATTATACCTTAGAATCCTTGGAGAACAGAGATTGTTTACCTGATCTAAAGTAGGCAATTCCATGAACCTTGTATAATACAAATCCCAATCTGGCTCAACCTCAACATTAATGGGTGTGACTAAGTAAACCAAATGCAGATCAGATGCTAGTACAAAACCTTCTCTAGCCCTCAACAGATCATCTAATACAACCTAGGAATTTATGATAGGCAAGACAAACAGTTAATAATGTTTGGTTTCCACACAAGTACTGCTATATCAATATGTAACAATGCATTATGAAAAGATAATGTCAAAATACAAGAGAAAGCAAAACAAATCTTTTTATAAGCGCATAAAATCAGAAAAGTTTGAAACATTACAAGTGATTCTTCAGGAGAGAGGCAGCTGCCAAAAGATGCTCGACCAAGAGGTGTGGTAGTGTACAATTTTGTGTCATCACTCCATTCAAGGAATTTCCTGTGGCATAACCATCTTAGAGAATCCTGTGCTGACTTTACCACATCTTCAAATGGTCTTGTTGAATTAAGAAGAGTACACCTAACATATCTGTGAATATCGTTAGCAGTCTGAACAATCCCACCAGCAACGACCTCTAATATTGCATGAATCATTCCATTCTTATCATCCGACAGGCAAGAATACAGTGGTGGGCAGCTGTCATTTAAAAGTCTCAAAATTCTTTTTGTTTCCTCTGGTTTGCAAATCAGCACCTAAACCAACAAAGGTGACAGCTTTGATAATCATAACTCATAAGATTAAGAGGTACGATAATAGATATCAAAATTTCGAAATGAAATGATCTAACAGGGTGAAAAGGAATTTAATCCTTCTAACATGTTGAAATATGAACGCTGCGATACAAGTAAATTTGCAGAAAATAATACTCCACACATTAAAAGTCAACAATACAAAGGTACAAAGAGAAAAGGTAAACTTACACTCTCTCCTTTTGTATCAATCCCAGTCCGGCCAGCACGACCAGCCATCTGCATGTACCTTGTACCATCTATAAAGTCACACCCAATACGGGGTTGTCTGAAAATAACTCTTCGGGCAGGGAGGTTAACTCCAGCAGCAAGAGTTGATGTCGCAGTTAAGACTCGTACAAGTCCTTTGCGATAACAGCTTTCAACAGTTTCTCTTTCCTCAAGCTTGAAACAAACATCATTGAATACTTCAAACAATACTTTAATTTGAAGATTGAAATGAAAAATAGAAAATGAGAGTACAGAAAACATTCTAATATAAAGCAGAATAGAGAATGCATATAACTAAATAGCATGCTACCATAAGTCCAGCATGGTGGTATGCAACGCCAGCCGGAAGCGTCTCTTCAAGTATAGGATCCAAGCCTGCAGGAGTTCTTTGCAGTGCATCAATTGCAAAATCAATATCAAACTCGGACTCTTGGATTGAGAACTTCTTTAAGTACTTCGCAACATGCCTAGCAGTTGATTCACATCCTTTCCGGCTCGAGCAAAAAATTAGCACGGAATGACCCTCTTGAACAATCTAAGTACATTCAAACTCATTAGGGTTTAAAACATTTGTTAATAGAGTGTTGATAAAGTGAGATCCAACCTCATTGCAAAGCTCCACAATATGATCTGGATCCTTGCCACCAAGCTCTGCAGCTTTTGGCAATGTCCTTACTATTTCCATCTTTCTGTTATAAATTGTGTTACCTATTTTGATGTACTCCTCTAACGGAACAGGCCTGAAATCCGTTTGGTATAAAGCTGCCTGTAAGAAGCAAATTACACAAGAAAAAAATTATAGGGTGAGATAAAACTTGAGAACCAATTGCCAGGATCTATCAATCACTTTTTTATAAACAATTACTCATAGGCTAACATATCAAATTTCTAGAGACGCAGAGTCATATACATTGACATCCAAGCCACAACAACATGCAAAGCAGAGGTATGAACTTGAACTTGTGATAAAGTTGGGTACACTAATGCATGCGTTATGGTTACATTCACATGCCAAATGAGGCAATAAAGAATGTATTTCCTAGCTCCCAAAAAACCTGGCGTATTAATCACAAAGCAAAACACCACACAGCATGATCCAGAAAACTGCTTGAGAGCCTTACTGGCATGGTAATGTAGTCAATAGAGAGCTGTGATCTAGTCAAGAATGCATTTCCTATGAACTTAAATGGTTCGCAATGATAATGTGCTAACAAGCAATGCTCTCAAGTTAATTTCAGAAATGCATACAGAGTTTGAGGCTTTGCACAGCCAACAAGACCACAAGCAAACAGAGACATAAATGCAACCCAAACTTTAATGAGAAAATGTAAGAGCCAAATGAACAAACACATTTGTTGAAATTCCGGTGGGCCGAGAATAACGGACGGAGTGTCGGGTAATATTAACCACTTGCATATAAAGTCGGGATTCACTTTCTAACCCAAAGCTTAAGCCAATGGATAGGGCTTCAACCTTCTATATATGCTAGTGATATTTCATTACTTTTTTCTGATGTGGGAGCTCCCAACACTCCCCCTGTGGTAACTAGCCTGATCTAGTTAGCACTTGAATATACAAGTCTAGCATGTCAATCGCTTTATAGCTAGCCCTGATAATGGCATCTCAATCTCTTCTAGCCAACTCAACCCCAACCCACAGGTAGCTCATATTGCTAAACCCACATCCAAACAACAATTAAGAGTTGAACCAAAACTGGTCAGGGGCCTACTCCGGGTAAAATTAAACACTTGCATATAAAGTTGGGATTCACTTTCTTACCCAAAAGTTTAATCCAATGGGTAGGGATTCACCCTTCTATATATGCTAGTGATATTTCATTACTTTTTCCGATGTGGGAACTCCCAACAACATTAATAAATAAATAAATTCACAAATATGTACATTATATGTGTCTACTATCAGTTACGTTACGTTGGGAGCCTAACAAGATTTAACTAAGTGTTTACCCATAACACAACTGCTACATTAGAAGTTATGACTTATATGGCCATTATGCTATAACATTACACGAAAGTTTAACATAACTAAAATGGTCTAAGCCCTTGAGATAATAAGAGAGTAACACAGACACACAGTGGAGCATCAGAACTATTTCCTGTGAGACGCTTTGTAGCCCTTCTCTTAAGTTTAGTATAAAACAAAGAAATAGTTATACCTTCTCTTAAGTTTAGCATAAAACAAAGAAATAGTTATACTCACATCAAGCCAGTTAGCAACAGCAGCCACATTTGGCAAAGTTGCACTCATTCCAACAATTTGAAGACCTTGAGAAGTGTCAGTTTTCCCACTGCTCATGCCTGAACTTTCTCCACTGGACGATTCTGTGTTGCCTTCACCGGCTGCATAGCGAAGCTTTGTCAGCAATAGCTCCAGTAAATAGCCTCTGTTCCGATCACCGACCTATAATGATGGCGCATATTCATTTAGTAGTACAATAAACAAAACTATGCCTCCGTCCCTCAAAAACTTGGCCAACTTTCCTTTTTGTTTATCCCCAAAAAAAGTACTTTCCTTTTAGGAAGAGATAAATGTGATTCACATTGTTTCTCGCTCATCTAAATGAGTCCCAACCACAAAATATTCATTTTCTTAAACTCCGGGCGAGTTGGACATGGCAACATTTCAAGGGTCAGAGGTAGTATAACAATTCCACAGGTACAAATTACAATAGTATGTACAATATTAGTTTAGAGTACTCTTCTTGGTGATGCTGTCAAAAACATATACATAGTATTATCTCAAACAAAAAGGGCAAAATGTTGCTTTAAGAGAGACTAGAAGAATGGAGATGAGCGATTGGAAATTGAAACTGTGTGCAGTGCATTTAAGAAACATAAGTATATACCATATGCAGTTCATCAATCACAATAATACCAAGCTCTGAAAGACGACCCTCTTCTAGAAGTCTATTAATCAAGGAGTTGGCTTTTTCTATTGTACAAACAGCAACAGAGGTGTCTTTTGGAAGGGTTCCGCCACCTTGATTTCCGTAATAACTGCGTACATGTTTCCCAAGTGGTTCTAAAAGAACATCTAGGTGATCTGCCTGTTCGTATCATTTACACATGTTAAAACGCGAGTAACATATGTAAGAGAACTAAAAAATAAGAAAGAACTGCACCTTTTCTGCACAAATGGATACATATGGCAGTACAAGGATTGCCATTTTCCCTCTTGATAAGATTCTCCGTAACATTAAAATCTCAGCAACAAAACTTTTTCCAGCACTGAGAGAAATGAGGATTAAGAAAAGCTAAATAAAAAAATAATTAAAAAACATATGGATGCTAGGAGATGTGTACACAACTTAATAACAGTGGCCAGTAAAAATGAGTCTTAGTGGGGAAGTTGAAGATGTTAAAAAGAACGAGGTACTTCTCCAGAATAAAAAGAATGAGAGAAAACCATCTCTTGGAAAGTCTAGCAGAAAACTTTGGGAAATGCAAGCAAAATGTTCCAATGCAATTTTAAAGAGAATTTCTTCTTTCATACAGAGTATGATATTGAGGTTGTGGTTAGAATTTTAGAAAGGATAATAACTCATTTGAAGGTATGGAAGAACTTGTTAACTAGAACAAAGAAGCTCTCCAATATAAAAGGGAATGATGAGTGCCGTTAGCCGGAGTGATTAAAATTTCATAATTAATGACAATTAATGTAATGTCATAATGAGCTTTTTTTCTTCTGTCTTTCGCGGTTATGTTATACTACCTCCGTCCCAAAGTATTTGTCCACTTTCATTTTTACACACCATCCAACACACTTCTTTAATCCATTTTATCTTGTAATTTTTATATTAAAAAATTATAGAAATTATATATTAATAATCTATATGTTAAGACAAATCAAACAAGATCACGCATGACTATATTTAGGCTTACACATTGAGAGAATTTGATGAGTCAAAGTGCTTAGATGAACAGTTCCAAAAGTCAAAACTGGACGAATACTCCGGGACGGAGGGAGGAAGTTATAAAACTAACATCAACTACCAAATTATACATCTCCAATCTCTCTCCAAGCAAATGATGCACAAACCCAAGGAAGACAAACTCAGAGTGGCAAGGGCTGCTTAAAATCCAGTTAAATTAATTTCCTGTAAAAATGTTATAATTAAGAGCTATGGGTATTTGGTATTAAGTGCAAGTAGCTTCTTTAACATTATCTAGGTTAGGGCAGTAGAGCATCTAGAAACTCTACATTCTAGAGACAAATGAGACCGATGGCATAAGAGTTCAGGAAAATATAAAATGCAATATATACCTTGTAGAAGCACAATAAACCAGATTCTTATTTTCCAAAACACCATCCACATTCAAGCAATCAACCTAAGGAATGGGAAGGGTTAATTAAAGTGCCGTATGAAAAGAATAAGTGACAATTATACTCTTTGGAAGCTCAAATGAAGCTTTTGAAGTTCAACAGAATTTAGGAGGTGTATATAATTGATGAACAGGTACTGCTAATAAAATCAAACAGATACTGAGAAGGGAGCTAGAGTCCGGTACTCCATTGTCTGTCAAGACCACCAGAAATGTAGCCTTGCAGGTAGCTATAATATAACCATATGTAACACCGTAGAGGGTGTTTTGCACTTTCAGGAACATAACACTCTCACCCTTTCATCCGAATAAAAAAACAAAACTGGTCATTATAAATTACTAAGACAATGGTGCATCTTTAGAAAAACATCATGATAGAGAAATAATAGACGATGCCCAATTATATTTAAATCGTGCATCCAAATAGTAGAATGAGTCTAATGTAACCAATTTGAGCATCTGACTAATGAAAAATGATCAAAATATTAAGAGGTATGGCCAGAACTGCTATGGTCTTCTATTTTTCTGTGTTGGGGAGTTTTTGAAAAGCAGAGTCAATCTGGTTTAATGGATGTTTTTTAATGTGAATAGAGTGTTAGCCCCCTCAAACTATCTGGAGCAAACTTGAATATACCACACAAATATAAGACGCTAACATTTCTATAAAAATCGGTACCTGCCATGGATATAATTTTGATATACCCTTCTTCTTGTAAATGCTGCATATTTCAGGTGGAAGCCAATTGCTGAGGTCTAAACGATCCTTTTGCAGAGAAAAACTTGAAGGAGTGGTGTCCTCACTTGATTTAGAATGGGCTCTCATATTACCAGATCTCTCGGTTGGTGTATTAAAAGTTGGGCTACCATTACCTTGCACAAAAACCTCCACGCTAGCTTTTGAAACAGCATACTTGGAGGCCCCTGCAATTTCTACAGTCAACGGTTCATTTGCTTTATCATTATTGCAGGAGCTGAGAATGTGTTGATTGGTTGGTGAAACATGGCCAATCCGATGCCCACTAAGAATATGGCAATTATTAGTTTGGACCATTTTGTTGCCCTCCAAAGCAAAGTCAAGATGCTTTACAGGCAACGGAGAGACTTCTTTATCCAATTCTTTCCCAATCTTCTTTGTTGGCACAGCAGCAGAAATAATTCCCACGCCAGAAACTCTGTCTACAACTCTTTCATTGACTGTGTTTGATTTAATGCCGCATCCTCCGGATGGCAGATTGTTGGGACTAAGTACCTCATGTTGGGTATTCATAGTTTCATTTTCTTCAACAACTCGGTGTGTACCTTTCTCATTTCTGGCAAACAACCCATCAGCAATTTCAATTGCTTCGTTCCAGAAATTTTCTCCAGGGGAAAAGATCGAGGTCCCCTGTGCTGACGGTGGACTGCGGCCTTCCACGTGTTTCGTAGTGGACAAACCAGGTGTTAGAGATTCAGTTGCTCTGGAAAATTGAACCTTATTGCATCTTCTCAAGCTCATTTGAGGTTCACCAAGTCTATCCAAGTTCACCTACAATAGCACACAAAAAAAACAGAAATGAATGTGCAAGATGGTACTATAAACATAAAATACAAATTTTTGAACTGGGCATCTATGTGATCTACCTCACTGGAATGTGGAATTGCATGTGCAGACTTAGAAGGCACACCTTTATGGGAAGCTTGAAGATAATTGCTATGAGAGGCAATCGCGTTATCCTCAACAGAAGAATAGCTAACATCAGCAGTACAGGGCATTTTATTTGATGTCATAATATCCATATCACAAGTAGATTGGCTAGCATGTGCTTTATAAGCATGCACATTTTGCTGTAATTGTGAACTTTCACTGTTTGGTTTCCCACTGTATGATGCAAAAACAAAAAAAAAACATCAAAACATATATCAAACAGAAAGAATGCATGAATCACTGATGTTGCTGAAGGTAAAAACTTTCGTTATGGGATTGCAAATTTAATCTCAGCGCTTCCGCATCTGAATAAAGTACCTGCAGTATATCGAAAGGAACTCACTAGCAAATTGTTGAAATTGCAAATTCTTTGCAGCTGCCATCGACTCCAAAGAATCTTTAGGAAGCTCTCTAGCCATAAAACCCTCACTGGTAGTTTTAGAACCTTGAGAGTGCAATTGTTTTGACGAACCTGCCACTTTATCTTCATCTTTGGATACCCGACCAGGCTCTAATGTCAACTTTCGCTTAACAGGTGATTCCCCAGACTCCCTATCCTCCTGAGATTTGACTAAATAACTCTCTAGAGATCCTTTGGTGCCCGGAGACCCTTCATTCGAAATCCTAGCATCTTTATTGGCTCTTGGAGATTTCAAAACAGGAGATTCAAATTTCCTCTTCTTCTTTGATGCAAAGAACTAACAAAAAACAACAAAGAACATGAAAGAAACAATTCGCAGTAGGATTACTGATCTCTAATCATGAAATCCGCATAGTCCTATAGAAATGAAAATGCCGGAACTTTTTAGGGTTTGAAATCAAAGATTTGTGGAGAACATTCCGATGACCATTGAATGCATGTGCGTGGACAATAGATAGCATTACCTGGTCAATCCGACCTCGAGGAGCATCAGAAGCCATGAGAAACAAACCGAATTCGGGTTCGGAAAAACGGGTCGGGTGTTGAACTTTCCGTCTCTTTCGCCGATCCGGAGTTTCAGAAAACTTCGGAAATCGTTCCGGGCAAGTGGACAAGACGACCGAGCAGGCGGGGCAGGGGAGGCACAAGTTCAAATTGCAGTGTGATCCTTGGAGTTCCCCTGCTCTTAAACATTCGCCGTAAACATTTAAAGTTATTCCATATTTGTACTTCTTCAAGATTTCTCTATTTAAAGTGTCTTGTTTTGGTTGAAAAAATTAGAAATTTGTAAGAGTTTGAAAAATGTTAGAAAAATGAAATGTATTCAAATAAATATTAATATATTTTATATTTGTCATATTTTATTAAAATAATTTATACTTTATTTATTTCAATTTTTTGATCTTTTTTATTTTTTCTTGTGTCACCATATTTTTGTTTTGAATCATACTTATGACAACATTTTTTACTTTTGTGACTCACCTTATTATACCTTTTCTTACATTTTTTCTTATCAACAACAAGCACATTACTTTATTGCTTCAAATACTCTCTTGCCCCTATATATATTTTAAAATGTAGAGTGACTCTTTTGAATGACTTATGATAAGCATCAATATCAATAATATAATTTTAGATATACACTTTTTAACATTAGTATGAATAATTTTTTTGTTTCTTAATTAACAATCCCCTATTGTATGCTCTTATGTTTTTTTGTTTCTTAAAACTTTTACATTAGGTAGTGTTTGGCAACTAGGATTTCATTTAAATTCATTAATTCAATTCCAAATTTAAAATTTTGAATTTCAAATGACAATGGGAGACGCATGGATTTAAAATTAAACTTTGCTATGAATGAGAAGAATTTGATTCAAATCCAAATTCAAAATTAGTAAGTTTCTCAAACATAGAATTTGATCCAAATCTGTATTTGAAATCCAAATCCATGTTCCCAAACATACCACTACACAATGCTTATTTCAATCGTTGAAATTTTGTAGATGTTGATGCAATGTCAAAAACCATGAAATCACAAAAATATCAAATGTTAAAATGATAGTTTTCAAAAAATATTGCTAGATTAAGTATCAATGGAAACTTTTTAATGATAAATATCATTGTAAGTGAAAATCAATAGAGAATAAATTAAGGAGTAGGTCCCATATTAACCATGCTATTTATTTTATAACATAGTCTAATAAAAGTCATATCATCAAAATTTAAAAGATTACTTATATCAAGAACTAAAGTCATTTCAGGTTTATATGAACACTTTCACATAAATATTTAGTCAAATTTTATTACCTTTTTAGTCTCACAACAGATCGCTGTTTTTTAAATTTCAAATTTTCAATAACTTTACATGGCATAGTTATATGATGTATACTAAGTAATGTTATTTTTTTGGCATAGTTTTTATGATGTATACTAGGCAATACATTTTTTATTTTTATATAAATTTATAAAGGAAAAAATTATTCTTACATATTTCTAAAGTCCACATGTGAATAGATATTGTTTTAGTTACCAAGGATCCATTCTTTTATGATATCAATTCACTTATAAACTCCATAACTAGGGGTGGACACGGTACGGTTCCAGTTCCGGAACCGCCGGTTCCGATACCGCCACCCCTTGGTACCGGTACCGTGACCGGACCGGCCGGTACCGGTTCCGGTACCCGGACCGGCGGTTCCGGTACCGGACCGGCCACCCCCAAATTATTTTTTTTTGCTTTTTTATTAAATTTTTAAAGTGTAAAATTATAAATGTGCAATTGTTAAAAGAAAGAATAAAATAAACAAACTAAAAATGTAATTTATAAAGGAAAGAATGAACGCTGGAGCTGAAGCTGGAACGCTTGGACCGCTGGAGCTGGAATGCAATTTATAAATGTGCAATTGTTTTACTACTTTTTTTTTGCAGGAATTGTTGCCGCCTTGCTGGAGCTGGAATGCTGGACCGCTGGAGGTGGAGGCTGGACAAAAAAAAAGAAAAAGGTACCGGAACCGGTACTGCCGGTGCCGGTACCGAAAATTGGGTACCGGAACCGGTACCGTGGGGGGCGGTACCGGTACCGGTTCCCGGAACCGGTGGAACGTTCCGGCCGGCGGTGACGGTGGCGGGTACCGGCGGTACCGTTGTCGGTCACGGTACCGTATCCACCCCTATCCATAACACAAGCATGAACAATAGACCAACAAAAGAATTTGCCAAAAAAAACATGCTCAACCGTAAATAAGGGTGGACACGGTACGGTTCCGCGACGGTTCCGGTACCGCCGGTTCCGGTACCGCCACCCCTTGGTACCGGTACCGGTACCGGACCGGCCGGTACCGTTTCCGGTTCCGGTACCGTTTCGGCCACCCCTAATTTTCTTTTTTTTTTTTTTTGCTTTTTTATTAAATTTTTAAAGTGTAAAATTGTAAATGTGTAATTGTTAAAGGAAAGGATGAAATAAAAAAATATAAAAATGAAATTGATAAAGGAAAGAATGAAATAAAAAAATAAAAATAAAAAAAAATCAATAACGGTACCGGAACCGGAACCGGTACCGCTGGTGCCGGTACCGAAAGTGGGCACCGGAACCGGTATCGGAGTGGGCGGTACCGGTACCGGTTCCCGGAACCGGTGGACCGTCCCGGCCGACGGTAACGGTACCGGAACCGGCGGTACCGTTTCCGGTCACGGTACCGTACCGGTACCGTGTCCACCCCTAACCGTAAATGCTATCCATCACTTAGTCTCTAATTTTTTTAGTGTTAACTTTTAACTTCTAATATTTTCTAAATCCTTCCAAGTTTTATCCAACCTTTTCCAGTTTCTTTCAAATCCTTCTAGTTTTTTCAATTTCTTATAGTTTCTTCTAATTTTTACGAGTTTCTTCTAATTTCTTCTAGTTTTCCAAACCCATCCAGTTTCTTTTAACTTTTTTCTAATTTCTTCCAATAATGACTTAAAAATAGTTAGGTTTACTTTATTATTATTAATAATATTATTTTTATCATTATTATTATATTAATAAAATAAAAAATTATGATAATTTTATAATTTATCAAAAAGTTGTATCCTGGATATGCGTTCACTTACTATTATAGAGTCACATAAATTTTTAAAATCTTAAAGTAATTTATTCAAAATTTCCTTTGTGATTAAAAAATAAAAATTTGTTAAAATTTTGATCAAAATAATTATACATTATATTTTCTTTCATTAGGCATTATTAAACTTTTAAATTTGCATAAACTAATAATGTTTATAATGTGCATAATATAATCGTATCTAAAATAATAAATGTTCTTACATCAATTTAATACACAAAAATATAATCATGCAAAATTAATATTTTTTTAAATTTTTTAAACGTGCATATGTTGGTGTATATTAAAAACTACCTCTTTTGCATAAAAATTCTTTATTTTATTCTTATAAAATAAAAAAAGTAAAAAAATTATTTTAATATTCTTGGAACATACGAAAAATAAAATATTGAATGTTTTCATGGGAATGAGTTGACGCCTTTTATCGTGCCTTTTTTCTAAATTGTTTTGAATTATTACACACAACTATATTATTTTGATATTAGAATTTTTACAAGTGATATATACATTGTGTTCATTACTTTATTAATTAATAAGTCTATTTTTTTTGGATAATTAAATAGAACAATATAAATCATGTTAAATCAAGAATTTCTAATGCAAAATTAATATTCTTTGTTTCAGATCATTTTGTAATTATGTTGATATATAAATTATGATTTAAAGTTGTATCCTGGATATGCGTTCATTTACTAGTTTTTCTCTCAATTAAAATTAGTAACAAGTGTTGTTTCATTTTTCTTCTAATTTTTGTTACATGAATTAGTGTCATTAAACTAAAAAAATAAAAAATTATATGATTAATATTGATTTTAAAAAGTCGAAAGAGTGTGAATGAAGAAAAAATTACAAATACGAGTCGTGATAAAATATAATAGCATAAAAGAAATTAAAAGAATTATAATTTTAAAAAGTAGAGTATATATTTCTATAATAATATATAATTATTTTAAGATTTTTTATTTTTTTAACTCCTTTAAAAAGAATTTAACTTTTTCCGGTTTTAACTTTTTTTAACTTTTTCCAATTTTTTCCAAATTTTTTTCCAATTCATTCCAAAATCAATTCATTTCAACCAAAAAGAATATGAACTTAACGCGTGCATATATACAGAATAGTGAATGTGTCATGTGTGAGCCATCCATCCTTTGGGTTCATTATTTCCCGTCTCCTTCTGGTCCGTGTCTCCGTCTGCCTTCTGCTCTTCGCCGACATCGTTCGTTCCATCCCCACCAATTTCTCAGATTCACATCGGTTGCGGATCTGGAGAGCAATCTGCATTCGGAACCAGCAACCAGAGATCCGCTCCTTCCCGGCTGTATCCTCAATATCCGGCATCGATCCCCGATTCCGAGGCTTTGCCGTGTATGTGTTGGAAATCTGGATGCGGTTTATGGTAATCTAGAGGTTCGGAATTGAAGAAACAATGCTACCTAGAGCTTCTAGTGCGTCCGTTCGGGATCGGACTCACGAGTTTCAGAGCATATCGGAACGGCTGAAGAAATCATATACGTCGGCGCACGATGCTGCGAGTAGCAGTGCAAGCAGCAGTAGATCGGATCAGAGGTCCATGGTCGCCATCCAGTCTGAGTTCAATAGAAGGGCGTCGAAAATCGGGCTGGGGATTCACCAGACGTCTCAGAAGCTCTCCAAGCTTGCTAAATGTAAGTGATCAGATTGCAAATTTCTTGCTTGTAAATTGGACAAATAAACCATTCGTTTTTTTCTCACAATGCAATGCCGCTGAGATGCAATCGTGTTATGTATTCTGCCTTGCTATGTCAATGCTCTCTCATATGCTATGTGATCTGAGCTGATTGGACGAAGTACACTGTTGAATTTTGATTCTAAATGGGTAATTGTAACACCTGGGATTCAAGATAAAGTTTACTGACATGAGGCAACGAAGATGGAAAGCAAAAATTGTATAGAATGGTGGCAAGGGCACACAATTTTTTTTAAATACAAATGAAAGAAGTTTATCATCATCCGGATCATTCTGATTTCTTAGGTGCTACCTCATCACATAGCTGAAGACCGTAACTACTATTGTAAAAGAAAGGACAATCTCAAAACAAAAAGCTAGACGTTTGATGAAATGACTTATATCTTCACGTATCACGTATTCAATTTGGGCACAACTCGTCGCCTTCCTAACTTTGATTCAACAATTGTATGTTTGCCTCCAAGCTCTATAGTATTTTGAGTAGCTGCTGCAAGTGTTACAGTAATGCATCTTAAAGATCTGCGTAACAGTATAGTATTGATGTTTATGTGAATGCAACCTTCATGAATTTCTTAGATTGTTCTGTCGTTTATGCAAACATGTATGGAGTACAACATGTTAGAATCCTGATGCATTGTGTAGGGCCCCTTATTAGTTATGATCAAGTAAAAATGATAACTCCTGAGTCGACTGAACAGCAATATTAAAACTCTGTCTCATTTAGGATTACTTTGTTAGGTTATGGTCTTATGGAGAAGGGGCTGTATACTTGCATGATCAAGTAAAAATGATATCTCTCAAGTCCACTGAACACATTTATCTTCGAAGACTCATCTACCAAGCTTTGCTAAGACCATATTTTATAATTTCAAATTAGAGCATATATTTGTTTTCCCTCTTAGATTGTCAAAGTGGAGAGATTGAGATTCTGTCCATTATTCGTTACAGTGTGTTTGGGTTGACAGAACTCACGGAAGGGATGCCTGTAAAGGTAAGGAAAAGAGTGTCTTACAGAGCGGTAGTAACTAGTAAATGGGAAGAAGGTAAGGAATAAAAAAAGATTATGATGCTATCCTTCTTTGGTTTACAAATGAGGGTTATACCCCCCACCCCCAAATCCCAAACTTAACTTCTCATTTGGCTTTTCACAGTTTTTAATTCAACACTGTGATCACGGGCTTTATACACGTTAGTAATGTTACATAAATAATTATTATAAAAACTGATAATATAAAGTACATTTCAAAGTTAATCTAATAAGTGTACGTTATAAATAAATTTACATTTTCTGCACATTATGGTTAAAATTTGTAAACTTTGACAAAGAAAAGTCAAATGGGAAGATTGTGTTGGGGTGGAGGGAATATAATTTACACTTGTAAAAGATACTCCGTAATAGAATTTGAGGGGGAACTGTTCAGTGTCCACTCGTCCCCTTTCCAATTGAGTCCAATTTGGAGGATGACATTTGAGAATATGGAAAGATGAAGAACCCCCCCACCCCTACAAAAAAACAGAGCACATGTGTGTGTGTCAATATATATATATATATATGTGTGTGTGTGTCTATATATATATATATATATACATACATACATACATACATACATACATACATGCATACATACATACATACATACACACACCTGTGTGTGTATGTGTGTTTTCCCTTTATTAATGTATGTATGTATGTACATGTAATTGGAAAATGTTAGCAGTGTTTAGAAACTCTGTGTATGATAGACCATAGAGACTACGAGGATTAGAGGAGTAACTTTGATGTTCAGACTTGCTGTGCTGACTGCTGAAGGAATTCATTTGATAATGCTCACTCTTTTTTGTCGCAGTGGCCAAAAGAACATCCGTTTTTGATGATCCCACTACAGAGATTCAAGAACTGACTGCAGTCATCAAGCAAGATATTACTGCCCTGAACTCTGCTGTAGTTGATCTTCAGCTTGTATCTAATTCACGTAATGAAAGTGGAAATAGTGACACCACTACCCATTCAGTTACAGTTGTGGATGACTTGAAGAACCGCTTGATGAGTGCGACAAAGGAGTTTAAGGATGTCCTAACAATGCGAACAGAGGTGAATACAGTTCATAATGGCATTCTCGAGTCGAAATAAGGCTATTTGTTTATCCTGATATTACGTACTGCTGAATGCAAACTAGTCTTTCTTAATGTGATTTCATTTGCTTAATTTATATTTAAGTTTTCTTTGGGGTTGACAGAATTTGAAGGTCCATGAGAACAGAAGGCAGCTTTATACTTCTGGCCCTGCCAAGGATACTTCAAATCCATTTGTTCGCCAGCGTCCATTAGCTGCCAGATCTTCTGCTAGCACTTCTTCTTCTCCTCCCCCGTGGGCTAATGGGCCATCTTCATCACAGTTATTTCCCAAGTAAGATTGATTAACAATGAGACTTAAGTTATTTTAGTCAATTAAGCAAGATATTTCAGTGGCTATCTATTGAAAATGTATTGCTCATTCAAAAAAATGGTGCAAGGCTGTTGCAACCAAATTGACAATTTGACACATACAGATGTTCATTACTTCATGAGTTTTTCTAATTGTAGCACCTTTAGCTCTCATGTCTTCATTCTTTTTTCAGTTAGTTGGTTAATCAATGGTTACATTCTATAAAAGTTTCTTGGAGAAAATGTTAAAATGGCCATATGACTAGACTAGCTTTTAGCGATTGGGCTTGCATGTTTTATGTTTTGCAAACACATAGAGATTCATCCGCGGAAAATCCTTTCTCCAAACATTTACAATATTACATATCATAATGTATGCATGTTTGCTTTTCCTTTTTTCTTAAGGGCGGGCCTAAACTTTTTTCCATTTTCTATGTTCTTTTACTGTGTTGCTTCCCCTTCTTTTTTATTCTCTTCAGTTTTCTGACAAAATAAGATGAAATAATATTACTCCAAAGCAATATTTCATATGTGTGTGTGTGTATGATGAAATGAGTAAATTTCATAATGTTGAGAGAAGTTATTGCTAGTACGTATTTTCTTGATAATGTACCTTTGTTTCCATGTTTTATTGGGACATGTGAATCCTGGATTCATAGTACTAGGCCCTACTAGCTTAGTGTTCGATCAATTATGATCAAATGATGCGTTTTAAGTTGAACCTTATTATTGTTAGTGGACATTGTTGCGGCTAGTATTGCTTTCCTCATCATCATCATCATTATTGGTATTGTTGTTCTACAAAACCTTTAATTTTATTTCACAAAAATAAGAGGGGTGTGGGGTAATATTGTCTCATGACATGTTTTTCTCATGACACACTTCTTGTCCTTTTTTAGGAAAAAAGCATCAACTTATGATACCAGCTATTATTAAATTACAACTACTACTCAGCCTACTTTTTTGTTTTCTAAATTTGGCTGGCAGGAAACAAAATGATGGAGAAAGTCAGCCACTACTGCAGCAGCAACAACAACAACAGCAGATGGTTCCCTTGCAAGACAGCTACATGCAAAGTAGAGCTGAAGCCCTTCAAAATGTGGAGGCTACAATACATGAGCTGGGCAGTATTTTTAATCAACTTGCCACATTGGTTTCTGAGCAAGGGGAGATAGCAATCAGGTACACATGGACATTTTTAGCTTATAATCTTAATGTGATGGTTGAATATAGCGTCATGTAGCCAACATATTCATGCAACAACCAGAAAAGAGAATAAAACTAAAATACAACAAGATTTGAAACCAAGACACTAAAATGCTATACAAAAGACTAAGGAAGAGCTTCCCTGTCAGTTTTGCCTTCTCCGCTTTCTCCGTTATTGTTAGTAAAATTGTGCTTGTTTACACCTTATCGTCCCCTCACATAACATGAGAGGACATACATAGTTTGTTTGAATTCATATTTCTCGTGTTCTTGTCTTTTGGCATGAATAATAGTGACTACTGTATTTTCTTTTTTAATGTATAAAACTATTTGTACTATTTCAAGATGTTCCATATATCAATGTGCACCCTAATCTAAAAATAAATGTAAATACAATCAGGGTAAGCGGTTCTAAAAGGTACTTCCTCCGTCCCATAAAAAAGTCCACTTTGATGAATGTACTCCTTTTAAATTTAACGTACAACTCTTTGAAAGCACTAAATGTACCTAAAAAGAGTCTACGAACTTTTGATGTAGTTTTTTAAATATGCAAGTTATACTTTTTATTTCTATACCAATTTGTAAATAAAACCATTTTTAAATAGATGGCGTTTTGCACATTGTTCGAAACATGAAAGGTTTTTGGGACAGATGGAGTAACTCTTTTTACGGGGTGGATGGATTACTTAAATATAAAATGCAATACATTTCTGATCAGCAATGGCCTAGTCCTTACAAAAACACTTGTTATACCTTAATTAGTTAATTTTAATCTTGAGCATGAATTCAGATGGGGGCAGTTCCCATGTCAGTTTCCCATGACAATGTCATGGAATGACCCATGTGCCCTACGCTGCCCCATAATTTCAGATTTTGTCAAAATTCTTTTTTATTTGGTCATGAATTTTTACCAAGATTAAATTCGGCTCAAACCTTAGCCTAATCTATTCTGTTTAGGTTCCATTTAGTTTCACTTGGATATCATCTAACCTGGCCGGAGTAAGGGCATTGTTCTGCTCTATTCGCTTGTAAAATATGATGTGAATAACCGGGACTGATTTTCTTTTGTCTGATGTAAAATATAAGTATTTCTGGCATTGTCCACTTTTCTTGTCTAAGTTATACTCCCTCTGTCCCACAATTATCTTCTCACTTTCCTATTTTGGACTGTCCCAAAATTTTCTTCCACTTTCTTTTTAATGAAAAGATATTGTGGTTCATATTATTCTCATTCTTGTCTGTACACAAACCACAACCACATAAGTTGTGTCATTCCCATCCAAGAAGATAATTACGGGACGGGGGGTTGGGGTGGAGTAACATACTAACATCTATTAGAATAAGTAATACTCCGTACTACGGTTTGAAGGAGAATGAACAAAGTTATATGAATTAACAATTTTGGGAGGGGCTATTGCAGGATTGATGAGAACATGGAGGACACACTTGCAAATGTAGAAGGGGCACAAGGGGCCTTACTCAAGTATCTCAACAGCATCTCTTCTAATAGGTGGCTCATGATTAAGATATTCTTTGTCTTGGTTTTCTTCCTCATGATTTTCCTCTTCTTTGTGGCATAGTAAAAACTGGAGTAATTGTCTATCTAAGGAAACAAATGGAGTAATTATAATCTATATACATCTTTCATTATGTTGAATGATGACGACCGAACACTTGTGAAGATCACATATACATTTTTTTTGTATGATAAGAATTATTGTAGTATTTGCTTCGTGAAGCAAATATTTACTCCGTATATGATATGCCTCATTTTTCGTTTGATATATTGGATAATGATTAATGACTTGTGATTATATCGGCAATTTTTGAACATTATGTTTATGAAATTCATGCGTGCATCTATGCCACAATGGTGTATCAAAAGTATGTGTTTGTGTCTAGGTTATAAACTTAATAGACATATGCATTTGTATATAAACTGTGAATTCTTATAAACATATGTACTCCGTTTTTTTATTTCTTATTTATTTTAATTTCCATTTTTAGGGTTAACTATCCAAGCTATAATATTTTTTGTAAAATGTTTGTTTAAATTTTCTAAATATTTCATAATTAAAAAATAAAAATTATATAAAGATTTATTTTTATTTTCTTAAAACTTTTAAAAATATAATGTTATAGCTATAGTTCAAGCTCAAAGTCATTGATATAATTTCTGCTATTACAAAATGCATATTACGCAAATATTTCATTGTTAGAAATAAAGATTATACGAATATTGTTATGAACAAAATGATAGAACAAAGTGCAATGGAGATATACCTTGATAACACAAATGCAAGGACAAAGTGCAATGGATAATCAAAGGAGAAGAAATGCAATGAGAGACTAAAGAGATGGATAGATCATTTCATTATATAGAGCCTCTATATATAGGCTTACAAAGGGGAAAATCAAAGGTCTAACTTAGACATGGAGAACATCAAAAGGCATTTGTACATAACACTCCCCCTTGGATTTTGGATGTTCACCATTTAGGTAGACTGGAGCTTAAGACACTGCCTCGTTAAAACCTTGCCAAGAAAAACCCAATGGGACAAAAACTTGGACGAAGGAAAAAGAGTACAGTGCTTATAATGCCCCCCCTGGACATGGCAAAAGATCCTTGAGTTGACGCATTCCGATACCATTGATCATCTTCCTAAATGTCGAAGTTGGCAATGCCTTTGTGAACAAATCCGCAAGGTTATTGCATGACTGTATCTGACGAACCTCAATGTCTCCACTTTTCTGAAGCTTGTGCGGATAGCAGAATTTTGGTGATATGTGCTTTGTCTTGTCGCTTTTGATGTAGCCACTTTTAATTTGTGCATTACAAGCAACATTATCTTCATAGAGTAATGATGGAGCCTTATTCAAAGATAATCCATAAGTTTCTCGAATGTGATGAACCACTGACCTTAACCATATGCATTCTCGACTTGCTTCATATAGCTCCATTATCTCCGAGTGGTTTGACGAGGTTGCAACTAGTGTTTGCTTTACTAATCTCCATGATATTGCAGCACCACCACAAGTAAAAACATATCCACTTTGCGATTTACCCTTATGTGGGTCAGAAAGATAACCAGCATTAGCGTAACCAACAACTAGTGATTCCGAACCTTTCGAATAAAATAGGCCCATATCGGTTGTTCCACGAAGATAACGTAATATATGTTTAACACCATTCCAATGTCATCTTGTTGGTGCTGAGCTATATCTTGCTAACAAATTAACCGAAAGGCTATATCAGGTCTTGTACAATTTGCAAGATACATTAGCGCCCCTATAGCACTTAAATAAGGTACCTCCGGACCTAAAAGTTCTTCATTATCTTCTCGAGGACGAAAAGGGTCCTTTACATCCAATGATCAAACAACCATGGGACTTTTCAATGGGTGTTGGTTATCCATGTAAAATCGTTTTAGGACCTTTTCCGTATATGTTGATTGATGGATAAAAATCTAATTTGATACATGCTCGATCTGCAGGCCGAGACAAAACTTGGTTTTCCCAAGATCTTTCATTTCAAACTCTTTCATTAGATAGTTTGCCGTCTTTAATAATTCTTCTGGTGTTCCAACAAGGTTTAGGTCATTTACATATACTGCTATGATAGCAAATCCAACTTCAGATTTCTTGATGAAAACACAGACAAATTGGATCATTTATGTAACCTTCTCTAACAAGGTATTCACTAAGACAATTATACCACATTCTACTAGATTGAATCCGTATAATGATCTCTGTAACTTGATTGAGAATAACTCACGAGCTTTCTGATTGCATGTTTCAGGAATTTTGAACTGAGTACTTTATTCATCATATGTCGGGGTATTTATACATACACAGGGAGGAGGTAAAGTCTAGGTAAACAAGGTAACCAGATATTCTAAATAATAAGAGTAATATATCTGCCATATTTAACACTCCCCCTCAGATATATCATCGTTCATTATACACTAACAACATAATGTTGGTTATGTTCTTCATGACCTATATCAACTGATACTGCATGATCAGTTATGCTGCCTCAGTTATCTGGTCGTGCTCGCTCAGTCGACTTCCAAGAAAAAGTCTTATCACCATATGTGAACACATTACCAATCTAATTTCACCCTTAAAATTTGGTACTGCAGGACCAAGTACTTCTTCGCCCTCTTCTGGGAGGCGATTAGAATGTTATGAATATATATATGAATGAACAACCATGGGTATGTTCAAAGGATGAGCTTTATCCATATTTCAACGTGTTAACATCTTCTGGATGTAGTTTAACTTATGGACAAATGTGCCATCATATAGGTGTTTAAAATACAATCCAAAGTATAATTTATGTCATGTCAAGATCTTCCCTCTTAAATTCTCTCTTCAAGAGTTCAACAGTTTTTTTGTTTTCTCTATCTCTTCAGGAGATCTAATGATATTTATACGTCGACGTAAACTGCTATAATAAAGAATATTGAGAGCAATCCTAGAATGACAACACATAGGTTGATTTCAAATTTGTATATTTTTTTTCGAGATATTCACTGGGTCAATTGTACTACATATGACCAGATTACTTAATACCATTCCACGATCTCTTCACACATATCTCGATGTATTAATTTTATTTCTTTTGGCATTTTGAATCTTTCAGGGATTATCATCACACAGATGTCGATTTCAAGTATCCCTTATAATTATGTTATAACGACATGTATATCATTTATTTGAAGTCCTTTTGAGATTGCGAGGCCAATTAAAATTCTAAAAGGATATTGCATCCGCTAGTGGAGAATACGTTTCCTCATAATCAACTCCTAAGATTAGGGAAAACCCCTTGCCTAAAAAGTAGTACTTCATATCGCACAATCTCATTCATTTTATTTCTGTTTATTACAGACACCCATTTTAAACCTATTGGTTTGACGTCTATGGGTGTTCAGACTTCAGGTCCGAAAATATTCCGTTTATCGAGTGACTTATATTCGACCTTTAGGGTCTTTTTCCATTTTGGCAAATCATTTATGTGCTATCTACATGTACTCTTCTTTGAGTTTTAGGCATGTATCTCTTTTTATTGATTACATCCATTGCCATAGCATATGCAATAATATCATTAACATGTGTTTCATTTTGGTTCCATATTGTATAGTCTCGTACATAATTAATAGAGATCTCATTTTCTTTTGGTACTGATGTTTCTTTAGGAAACTTATTCTTCTGGAATCATATTAGTCTCTTCCAGGACATTTACCTCTTCGAGGGTTTCATTTTCTTCTAGAATAGTATTAGTCTTCTTCTAGGACAGTTATCTCTTCTGGGTTTTCACTCATATTCATGTATGTGGTTTCACTAATAGCATTTTTGCTATATATCTTCATTTTCGTGGGTTCTTATCTTTGAAACCAATTATTCTCCCACATAAAATGTTCAATAGTCACTTCTGAGACTACCTTAAAGTGAGCGATGCATAAGATGCTGGTATATGTAACTTTGTCACCCTGCTCATATATGTGAATGCATCGAGTAATCCATTTGCTCTTCATTGCAAATCAGACTTCAAAATTACATTGACCACTTCAGGAGTGGAAAATTTACAATGATGCATTTCATATGATTTCTTGTATTACCAGTCTTTCATTATTCTTGTCTCCCCCTAAAACTGGGAATATTTCATCATAAAATTGACAACTAACTTACTTTGATGTTAATAAATCTCCTATCAAAAACTCTAAACATTTAACAATACATGAAGAGTTACAGTCAATGTCAATACACAGTCTTCTACATTATATTGAATGCATTGTGGGGGAGAGAGCATATAAGGCACAAAATCAAACAATCAAATATTGTGAGAAGGGACAATCTTGTTTCTCTTCAGGAGATATCAAGTGTAAGAAACTCAAAAATGTGAAGATTTGACATTTTATTTATAGGGAAGGATTAATAAAAATGAACATGTATATAAAATACATGCGAAGGAGAGCTTCAGGTTCTTATATGTTGGAACTACAGGTTCCTTATAATAAGACCATTTTTTAATGGTTGAGAAAATATCTAGAATTCACTTCTAACCAAAGTGTTTACAATTGACACATAAAATTCATAATGAGCACTTTATTTGCAATATCGTAGTACAATCTTCTTTCTTGACCTTCAGGTTCACATCTTCTTTAATTGAAGAATATATATAATCTAGCATATGTCATGGAATTTATCTTCCATTCAACTCCTTCAAAAACCTTCCCTCAGTGTCTACCTACCATTGAGGTACCTTGATAATTTCTTTTAATTTATGCCCACTAAGCATCTGCTCCAAATAATTACCACATAAATGAAGATTCAAAAACCAGTATAAAATGCTTTGTTCTCATAATCAAAAGTATAGCCACCAATTCAATGCATTTTGCATATTAACTGGAGCTACAGGCTCTTATGTGACTAATGGTGTTCAACATAACCTACAAATTATGTCCATAGGACAAATATCATAAACTTCGGGTTACGAGTTAATTGTCAACAAATATGACAAATATAACGATGCATCATATATAACATTTAAATTGTGATCACGAATAGTTGATGAGTCCAATCAATTATCCTTGAACAATTTCTTAATATGTATGAAATGAATCTCAAGTTTCATTAGTAATAATCTCATAATAATCTTCTAATGAGAACAAGACTATAGGATCTTCTGGTCCTTATAATAACAGAAACTTGTTCTTCAAATAGTGCTCACTTGAGTTCTTAATGATTTTTTTTTCTTCACACCACAAACTAAAACGTGATAATTTAATTGGTTATGTTTAGAATAAAAATTGATTCAGTAAACTTCTGGTTTATGTGAAAACAAATCTCGATCAAGTGTCATGTAATATTCATTTCCACTGGTATCGTAAACATTAATAGAGATTCCTTAAACAATAAGGATTTAAATCACTCCTTTGATTATAATATATTAACTACATCATTCTTCAGGAACATCGATGAGTAATCATATATAGATTAGAACAAAGGTCTTGAAATATCAAAACAACTCTTTTAATGAGATATTTTTATACTAAAAATCAGCCACTTCAGGTGGTAATTGAATATTATAAGACCTTAGGTAGTATCTCATATACCCATATATTGTGTTTTGATGAACATGTTGACTCTTTTTTATCATTGTGAAAAATAAATAAATTAATGTGTATTGATTAAATAATATGGTTTTTTTTATTAAAAAACGGCTTAGGTACTTGAAGGGTCTCAATTATTATTATTTATTATGCATTATTATTATTATTATTATTATTATTATTATTATTATTATTATTATTATTATTATTATTATTATTATTATTATTATTATTATTATTATAGCGGAGGTTACAATTAGAGTAAAACTATAGACATAATGATAAAGTAGAGCACATTACATAATCACAAATAATAAGTCTATAATATTAACATTATTATTATTATTATATATATATATATATTTATATATTTATTTATTTATTTTCATGTGGCATACTCAAATCTTCAGGTTTGAGTTTCACTATTAATGCTTCGAGCATATGAAATCAAGATATGAACTTCAAGTTCACTAGTAAAAAGACAAAAAAAAAACTGAAGGAATGATATTTTTCCTGACATAATATGTACTCAAGCTTCAGGTTGAGTTTTATCATATAACCATCAATTTTAACACATTATGTAGGCTTCACATGCCAATTCTCCAATATATTTAGGAGTTTTAGATTCAATATATCTACACGTACACTTAAAAACTAAAGTAAATTAGTGTATATGTATATGTATATATCTATAACATGAATATGAACAAGGACAAAATATGAAGAGGAGTAATTTCTAGAAAATTAGAATTTTAGAGTATCGTGCTGATAACGTGTTAGAAATAAAGATTATACGAATATTGTTATGAACAAAATGATAGAACAAAGTGCAATGGAGATATACCTTGATAACACAAATGCAAGGACAAAGTGCAATGGATAATCAAAGGAGAAGAAATGCAATGAGAGACTAAAGAGATGGATAGATCATTTCATTATATGGAGTCTCTATATATAGGCTTACAAAGGGGAAAATCAAAGGTCTAACTTAGACATGGAGAACATCAAAAGACATTTGTACATAACAATTTAAGTGTTTTTTATATTAATCAACTTATTTAAAAAAAAATAAAATCACCTCTTCTTTTATAAAAATTTTAATATTTCTTTTAAATATGTAAATTTTATTTTTTTAATTTAGCAACATAACTCAATTAAATTAATATAATTTTATATACATACATACATACATTAATACACACACACAGATATATATATATATATATATATATATATATATATATATATATATATATATATATATATATATATATATATATATATATATATATATATATATATATATATATATATATATATATATATATATATATATATATATATATATATATATATATATATATATATATATATATATATATATATAGGGGCCGGTTCCCGTGAGAATGCACCTTGTGAAGAGAAATGAGAATAAAATCTAGTCATTGGAGATAGTGCATTTTCAAAAGATTTTGGTGCATTTCGACGTGATGCATTTTCAAACCATTTTGGTGCATCTAATTTTGATGCAATCCTGACCCTTAGATCTCACAATCTAATCCTGAACATATATATATATACACACACACACACACACACACACACACACATACATACATACATATATACATACATACATACATATATATATATATATATATATATATATATATATATATATAACTTTTAAATATGTTTAAAGCACTGGTTCGACCAGTGAACTAGTAGCTCGATCGATTCGGTCACCAATCCAATTCTAAAAATTGTGGTTCAAAAGTTACTTTGGTGGAAGTTTTAGCTTCAAAGAGTTCTAGCGAATATGTAGAGAATTATATGTAGAGAATTAAAAGGTAGCTCACACTTTGGCTAGATGTGCTGATGTTCAATCCCATTGTTAGGTTCATGTTTCGCCAAATTGTGTTGCTCATTTGAGTGATAATCACTCCTTCTCTAAAAAAAATCTTTTTATTTTGTAATTGAATCTTTTTGAGTTACATGACAAAATATTAAATATTTTTTTAAACAAATTAAAATAAATTTCAATTTTTGTATGATTTTATTAGTGAGTCTTTCATTACAGTGTATGTTTTAACAATTTAAGAGTAATAAATAAAATATAGAGTAACTTTTAAAAATTTTTGTCCTGTAATCTATGTTTAACGAAAAGTAACAACACACCAATACGGAGTATTTTTAATCATAATAAAATTTTGAGTTATCAACATTAGAAATGAATCACGAAAATGTAGTAATCTTGAACTATTTTATACAAGTTAACAAATTAGTAACAAATTTATATTTTATAGTAATTTCATATTTATATGATAAATTTTTTTATTTTAGATATGAATATTCGTTTCATTTAAGAATTTAGAAACTATTTATGTGAGATTGTTGAGGTCAATATTTTCAAAAAAAGAAATAGAAAACCATAGCAATTTCCAAATTCTACCCACATATGAGTAGTATTTAGCGGATAGTCCTTATATAAACTTCATCTTCTTCGTCTTCTTCTTCCGCAATCTTCACTTCTGCATCCATCGAAACCCTAACCCCACCAGTCTATCAATCCCTCTCCATTCACATCCATATATCTTCCCTTTATCGCTCGAAATCTTCATCTTCATATGCGATCTCGTGTTCCTGCAATCGGATGCGGCTTTTACTAGTCTTCTTTCTCTCATCCGAACGATAAATCTACAGATCTTATCAGGAACGCGTAGAGCTTATAAAAAAAGTGGAGAAAACAAATTTGTATTGCCGAATCTTAAGCTACATAGATAGAATTTCAGTGGTCCAGTGATCGTTTTGAAACATAAAAAGGAAGAAATCTTATTCCTCTCCGATTATCTGTGTTGGATTTTGACGAAAGTTTGATATATATATTTTTTGTGTTTGATATTGTTTATATCGGTTACTGCTTGTGTTGTTGAATCTGAAAGTGCGGACTGCGATTTCAGAATCTGCAATTTCATCGTGCTTTTTTAGCTTGTGTTTTTTGAGCGAGCGCGAGTTCTGAGAATTTTCATAGGATATGGTGGGAGGTAAGATCAAGAAGGAGGAGGGGTCGTTTGTGATGAGCAATTCCAATGTTTTTGCTGCGCTTGATAGTTTGAAGAAGAAGAAGAAGTCTGATAAAGAGAAGGGATCTTCCAAGAAGAAGCATACGGTCGAGGTTGTCAAGGAGCCTCCTGTGATCTGGTCTCCAGCTCCATTGAAGGTGAAATCGTGGGCTGATGTTGAAGATGAAGATGATGATGATTACTATGCTACCACTGCCCCTCCTCAATCTTTGTGGGGCCTTAACCAACCTAATGCAAAGAAACCTGAACCTGTGGAGGTACCAACAAATATTTTTCTCATCTGGTTTTAAGCATCTCTTCTCTATATGTATGTATAGAAGATATCTGATTTGCCCCCTCAGTGCATGCTAATCTTTTATGCTTCATAACATTGTGATTTGTAAGGATGCAAAATTTTGACATTAGCCCATACTAGTTGAATCACGGAGTTATATCTGATTCATTACCAACAGTATTGCATATTTTACACTTTGAGCATAAGTTACATGTCATCTAAAGCTTTTAATAATTCTCAATAAGGCAGTGTTTGTTTAAGTTTTTTGATAAAAGTAGTTGAGTTCGAATGATGATTGAATTAGGGGCAACATCTTGAGAACCTGTATGTGAACATCTTGCCGGCCCTTGTGGCTCCATGCGGAGTTACTTTTTGACTTGTAACCTTTGATCTCCAGTCGGCCTTCATGGTTTGGGTGAACAATCATTGGGCTTTTCTGTGTGTCTTGAACTTAGATAATGACATTAATCCATGTCATTTTGGCCCAATTAGCTCTTTGGGTTAGGTCATTATGAATGTGCTTGCAAGTTAATGAGATTAATTTAGGAATAGAATCAAATAAGATGTTTTGTAAAAAATGATGTACTGGCATTCCATTGGAAATGTTGTATGTGAAGCAATATTTCATTGGAGACATTTGCTCAAGATATCTCATAACTTTTCAGATGCAAAATATTCTTTAGCAGGATATATTTTGATCCTTTTTTTTAAATTCTGTGAACAACCCAATACAAAATGTTCTTATTTTATAAAATAGTTAATGTAGAACAGCTTGTATTTTTAAAAGTTCTTTTTCCGGTGTCAAGTCTTCGAGAGAGGTTTGTGCGAATCCATGACAAGGGTGCATGCATTTGAGGTACTATGTATTTCTTAAGCATTTGACACGCATTGCATGTGATTGCACTGATGTTTGTGGTGCAAGGATACTATAAGTTGTTTTTTACGGAGTAGCTTTTAAGCTGTTCCTGACCTGGACAGTAGTACGATCTCCTTCTCTGTATAGTTTAGTATTTTTCAATTCAATTACTGCAGGAAAGTGAGAGTGATGAAGATCTACTTGGTGAAGTTGATGATGATGGTGAGGATGAGCATGAACATGAACATGAACACAAAGCTGATGTCTCTCAGCATTCTGAGCCTATCCAGAGCAAGGCTGCAGTGACTTCACAAGCACCCAAGGAAGCAGAGCGACAGCTTTCAAAGAAGGAGATACGGAAGAAGGAACTTGCCGAACTGGAAGCTCTTTTGGCTGATTTTGGTGTTGCACAGGGTGACAAGGTTGCAGGGGAAACATCTGGTATTACATAAATACTTTGAACTTGATTTCCTTTGTTTGAATCCCCTCTGGATGTGTTTGGATGGAGGGTTATGGAGGGTAATGATTGGAGGTTTATTTCACATGAAATTTTATGAAAATTGAAGAAATTCCATAATAGGTGCTCACATAAACTTTCAATCATCATTAATTTATTTCTACCAAGTACCAATAATAATTAATAGGCTGAACTCTCCAAAGCCATTCCCCCCTCGATCCGAACCTTCCCTTAAGTTTTTTGTTGGATTTATTTGGAATCGGATGGAATTACTGAGAACTGAATGCTCAGAATATACTAAAAGCATGTCAGGATGATGCAAATTTGCCCAGGTATAGTAATGCTTCCAAGTTCCACTTCACGAATTTAACATTTCAGGAATTTTTATTGCAAGCATGGCATATGTCATGAATCGTCACGATAAGTCTGGGGAATTGAATGCTTACCCAAAGTAGTAACCCTGTCATCAAATATTGGGTTTGTTTGTTGTTATTGTTGTATTATGGTGATAGTATCTGTTTCTCTCCAAAGACTTAATTGGACAGGGTCTTGTTCAACTTTATATTCTCATATTCTGGTTTATACTTTGATCTATTCAATCTAGAATTATGTTTTGAAATTTCAGATGCTGCACAGGAGAAGATAGAGGCGCAACAGCAAGAAGAGGAGTCGGAAAAGAAGAATGGCGGACCCGGAGAATCTAAGGCTGCAAAGAAGAAGAAAAAGAAGGATAAATCAGCAAAGGAATCACAGGAACAGAAGCAACCAGACAAAAGCTTGGACTCAGAGGTGATCAATGGAGGTGGGACCGAGCAGCCAGCCGAAGAATCATCATCAGCATCATCATCAGTTGTAAATTTGGAGAGACTGAAGAAGGTTGCTTCTACAAAGAAGAAGAAGTCGAACGCCACAGATGCCGCTGCAAAAGCTGCTGCCATGGAGGCTGCCGCCAGGAATGCAAAGCTTGCTGCAGCTAAGAAGAAGGAGAAGAACCATTACAACCAGCAGCCGACTCGGTAAGAAGACAAAAAAAAAATGAATACGAGGTTTTAATCACCAAGCCATAGCGATGAAAGTTATCGGTTCTCTGGATGCAGTAAGTAGGGATTGGTAATTTTTTTCATCCTTTTGCGGACTATGCAATAAAATGGGGAGTTGAAGGCTTTGAGAGGTTTTATTTTTTGGTTGACAGTTTAGATCTAGAAATCTAAAGAACTCTTTCTTTTCTTGCCAGACAATTCTTTTTTGTTTTGTTTAAATGGAAGTGATACTTGATGTGTATCATAATAGCACTTTCTTCTATCTTCTACGAGTAATATTTATAAATTCCATGTCAATTTCTGGTTTTAATGCAAGGGGCCTTTGCTTCCTCTTGGTCACTCACTCATGGTAAGATCTGAACTATTTTTATTTCACTAGATACAATTTCTTACTCGTATTTTTTAAATCGAAACAATTTCAATCTATTCTCTTTTAAATCAATAATAGTGATCGAAGATCATTTTAGGACGGAGAGAGTATTACTCAAGATTTGTTCTCTTCATCTGATGTGATTGAAATAAGTTTTAATTTAATTTGATTTGATCTGATTGTAATTATATATAGTTATTTTTTATCTGATTTAATCTGATTCAAATATGAAAAAATAATAAATAATAAAAATAATTTGAAGACAATAAACTCTTATGGAATAGAACTTTATAAGTAGTGAAAAATAATGATTTTTTTTCCACAAATGGATCCATATTAACTTTTCCCTCCCAAACCGTAATCAAATCCAAATTCTTCTTTATGATTATCAGATTGCGAAAGCACAAGATCAATGCCTAGTGCGGTTGAGGCTTAAATCCTGTCAAAGGATCTGCATCATCATCCTCTCACCGAAATCAAATCGTATAATTTGATCAAAGTGTACAATTTCTAGATTTTCGTGAGAGAAAGCTGATGCAGATAACTTGTAGTACAATGGTTTAGAATTTTTTTGTGAACACTAATTTTTATACTCACTCCGTCCATAAATGAATTAAACTTTACGCCGAACGAAGTAAAATCTCAAGTTTTTTCTTTTTGATACGTTTAAATTAAATAAGTTAGTTTTCATTCTATTTATTTAAATATTGATGTAACATTAAAAGCAATAATTATATTTAAAAAGTTAGAATAAAATTCTATTAAACAAGAAATGACTTGACTATAATAGTATTGAAATGGAGAAAAAAATACTAGATATAATTTGGTATTCTTTTGAGGTAGTTCGAGTATATTAATTTTATAATTTGATTTAATTACCAGACAACTTCTCTTAAATGATTTATGCTTTATGATTTTATTTAAAAATACATTATTTTTAATTATTTATTATGATATAGAAGATTAATCATTTTTTTAAACAAATAAATAGATAAAATTAGGGAAAAGCAACCCTTCTGGCATGGGTCATTTCAACGGTAATAAATACATAAAATTAGAGAAAATCTCCACATGGAATTTGTGGGAAACAAAAGAAAATCCCCGAGGTGCTTTCCTTAAAAAATAAATACCCAAACTCAATATTAAAAACTTGTAACTCTTTCCTTTACAAATTTTACAGACATTAACGGACATCCGACACTGTTCCGATCCGCATTTGTGAATGTCTTTAGGGTTTGTAAGAGTATAACTAAAAGGGTTTATATTTTTGGGATCAAAGTAGCATTACTCGTAAAAAAAACTAGTATTGTGAGTATAATTAAATCTAAACCACATTCTCCCCCACACCGTAATTATTAACCAAATTCTTTCTTCTTCTTGACCCCCTTGTAGAAGCGGATGACTGTCTAACTCAATATAATCATATTGTTATGGGATTTACATTTTCTTTCTTCTTGCTTAACGAAATTGAATGATTTTATTTATCGTTTAAGATCTTTGTGCAGGAAGAAAGAAAATGTAGATAACATTCACCCAAATTGGTTTAACTATTCTTTTTGCACAATTCGCACTAAATCCACTGCAACATTCAATGAAGATAAATATTTATCTCGGTTGAACGTACTATGACATTTTTTTAAAAAAAAATTTATACATTGTTTCTTCTGTCCAATTTGATTCTTTCACTTCTATCTTTTCGAGTTTTACGTAAGCCCTGTTTTGGAAACAATGTTTTCAATTAGCGTTAGCGTTTTGGAAAAATTTTGATGGTGCAGATTAATTCTGAAAATGCTAACGCTAAAGGCTAACGTGAGATATTTTTTTCAAAACGCTAACTTCTAACGCTGATACCAAACAAGGTCGTACATACACTTGTAGACTATATTTCTATATGTAACCAAGGTCAAACTTCCTTGGTTTGTTAGATTTTAGGTCTTTGACAATTTTGTGATTGAATATATGGCACATGTTTGGTCTTAAATGATTCTCCTAGCGCATGATTCTAATATCAAACTCTGAAGGTTTCAAACTTCACTTCAGTTGACGAAGGACAAATCAGTATCGAACGCTTGCATTAGCTATCACAAGAAGAATATTTGATCGTTTTAAAATTACATTTTTAGCGGTCAATTTAACACGAACATCACAGAAAATCAAAAAAGACTAAATATGAAAAGGTACCAATGAAAGGACCACATACGTAATATTTGATAGTAATATTTGATGAAAGAAGACTAAGGCTCCGTTTCGTTCAACTTATTTTTTCTTATTTTTTCTTAATCTTATTAAAATCCGACAAGATCAGACCAGATCGAATCAGATCGAATCAGATCAGATCAGATCGAATCAGATCAGACCAGATCAAGTCAGATTAGATCCCATTAAGAATTATTATTATTATTATTATTATTATTATTATTATTACTATTACTACTATTATTATTATTATTATTATTATTATTGTTGTTGTTGTTGTTGTTGTTGTTGTTATTGTTGTTGTTATTATTATTATCAGTATTATTATTATTATTCTTAAAAAAGAAAAAGAATAAACTTTATAAACAAGTTAAATACAAAACTGAGAAAGTAATCTTTAATTATTAGACGTCGGAAAAATTATTTTTAAAATACATTGACAATGTTAATCTAACTTTTAAAATACATTTTTATTGCTACTTGTAATTTGAGTTTCTAAAGTTTTGATCTTTTATGAGGATAAGATATTTTAATAAAAATACTATTCTTCTATATATTGATTATCTAAATTTAATTAATTTTTAATGTATATATAAATTAAATATTTATTCTAATGTATATATGAAGTAATTATTAAAATATTAAATTAATATTCTAATTTTACAAAAAATAATCATAAAATAAATAATATTATTACATTATAAGATGAATGATTATTCTAATATATGAATTAACTAATTTTATTTTATTAAAAAGTAATTACAAAATAAAAAATATTGATTATATTATAATATGAATTATCATTACAATTTTCAAACGTTATTATAAAGTCAAATCAAAATATTGATTTAAATTATAAATCAAATCATGATTAATCAGATCAGATCAGATCAGATTCAATCAGGTCAAATCAGATCAGATCAGGTCCAATCAGATCAGACCAGATCAGATCAGATCAGATCCAACCTGATCAGATCAGATCAGATCCAATCAGATCAGATCAGATCCAATCAGATCAGATCAGAACTTATTAAAATCAGATCAGATCAGAAAGAATAAGTTGAACGGAACGGAGCCTATATATAGAAGACCCCCTTATTATAAACCCAATTCTTCTTCTTAATTATTTGAACTAAATTAATACTTCCTCCGTCTAAATTCAAGTTGTTTGTTTACTATTCATAAGGTCAAATTTTATTCACTTTCTTTATTTATATCTGTTACTTATTTGATAAAATAATATAGTTATTTCGCATTTCGTTTCGTAGAACTTTTGATGTCGTTTTTTAAAATATAATTTTTGTTTTTAATTTCACCCCAACTCTCAAATAAAATGAATTAAAAATAAATTCAGTCAAACATTACAAATTGAAACAAGTGATTTTATTTAGAAGAGAAAGAGTACTTTTTGCTAAAATTCTTTTGTTAAGGTCAGAAATGAAAATTGTAATCTAAGTGGATAGATGCTGATATCTTGTTCTGAAATGGGTTGCAATAGAACTAATCTTTCTCATCAAACCGAGTCTTAAATCGGTGTTCTAAAAAAATCCCCTCAAATAAAAGTAAAACATACGGAGTATCATTTATCTTCAAAATAAAAGTTTCATACATATTTTTACTAGTATTTGAACCCGTGCCTCGCACGGGGTCGAACAAAATTTTTTGTCGATTCTAAATAAAATTTAATGTATTCAAGATTAAAGAAAATATACTTCTCGCATGATTTCTAATATCATAGAAAAAAACCAAATTGGAAAATATAATATTTGAGGGATTGATTGTGTACAACACAAAAAAAAATTAATACCAAATTTTCTGAAAGACTTCAGGGTATACAAAAGATATGTTCATTGTTCTTATTATTATTTAAAAAAAATTAAAACTAAATTTAAAATTTTACCATTTTCTTTTTGTTAAGGAAAAGAATTTGAGTATCATTTCTTTTTTTAAATAAATTTCAACCACATGTTTTTTTTTAAATTTTTTCATTAATTTATTTAGTTATTTTTTTAATTTTTGGAAAATTCAAATTATTATTTGGTTTTTTAGTTTTTAATATAAATAAGGTATGTGTTATACTAAAAAAATGCATTAATTTTCCATTCATATTTTTGTTGCATTTTAATATACATAGAATACATTTCTATTTTCAAAAAGATTTTTAAATATCAAATTTATATTATTCAATTTTATTTTTAAAGAAAATAGTGTTTGGGTATGATATATTTTTTGGTTTCAAATAAACATCAGAGTATTTTTTTTACATGATAATTATGGTCATTTATTTTTTGGTGAATTCAAGTTGCTAGTAGGTTTTCCAATAGTGTAGAAGTATTTGAAAAATAATGTTAACCTCAAAGATGTTAAAATTTGAGGTGTGCATGAATACTTTTTATCATTTGTTATCTTTTTAATAAAAATAAGCCATGTGCTATGTACTAAACATTACATTGGGGATCATATATAATTTTTTTGCCTTTTAACCTTCGTGGTATAAACACGTATATGAAAATTATTTAAACCTGTTTATTAATTAATATCTTAAAGGTCATCAATTTAATCGGCATCAATTTCTCATTCTGTATATAACATTCTTTAAATTTTACTCAGTTATTATGTGGCATTGACATGTTAAAGTTTTGCCAAATAAACATGTCAAATGTCGAATTGCTGTGAATCAGAGAAATCTGTGTTTAACAAATACGAAATTCAATTTCTATAAAAACAGTGTTTTTGTTAACTAATTCTTTAAATATTACTTGCTGACATGGCATGCTGACATTTTAAAAAAGTTGTCTAATAAGCGTGCCACATTTCACAATCCTAGAAGCCCAACTCTCAAATTTTATATATAAAGATTTACTTTAGTCCTACTAATCTATCCCTTGTTGGAATAAATTTGTTTGTTTTGATTTTTTTAATATGAGTTCCTTGTTTAAATACTCCGTATATCAAAACATATTATTTAATTTAAATATTTTCGAATAATGAAATAAAATATAAAAGTTTTGAAACACGATTGTGCTGAGAAATCTGTGTTTAACAAATACGAAATTAAATTTTCATAAAAATAGTGTTTTTGTTAACTAATTCTTTAAATATTACATGCTGACATGGCATGCTGACATGTCAAAAAAGTTGTCTAGTAAGCGTGCCACATGTCACAATTCGAGAAGCCCAGCTCTCAAATTTTATATATAAAGATAAAGATTTACTTTAGTCTTACTTACTAATTTATCCCTTCTTGGAATAAATTTGTTTGTTTTGATTTTTTTTAATATGAGTTCCTTGTTTAAATACTCCGTATCAAAATATATTATTAAATTTTAATATTTTCCAATAATGAAGTAGAATATAAAAGTTTTTAAACGCGATTATGCTGAGAAATGTATGTTTAACAAATACGAAATTCAATTTCCATAAAATAAGTGTTTTTGTTAACTAATTCATTAAATATTACTTGCTGACATGACATGCTGACATGTCAAAAAAGTTGGCTAGTAAGCGTTCCACATGTCACAATCATAGAAGCTCAACTCTCAAATTTTATATATAAAGATTCTCAAAATAGCAGTGAAAATTAATTAAGACTTACATATGATCCACAAGCACACCGTAATTACAACATTATCCTTCTTCTTCTCAATCCACACTTTGCACAAGCTCTAGATCACCCAACTTCTTATTTTGTAATGTGGCCAATTAGTTGAAATACATAAAGAATAAATTAGGTTTCTGCATAAATTCGTAAACTAGAGCATGAGATTATATATTATGGCATGTATATTTTTTTTATGGTTCGTATGATTCAATTGTTTTAAATAATATGCAGTAAAATTTAAATGGAAAAATTGTTCTTTTTTAATTTACATGACACTAAACTATGTTATAAACATTATGGATATTTCGTTAATCTAAATTGACCCTGGAAAAGTATCAATATTTTAAATTTAAAAATAAAAATTATACTACCATCTGTGTCCTTAATTAAATGACATTATATTGTTCACGTAGGCAAATTTTATTCACTTTTTTGCCTATTATCAATATTATAATAATAAATAATAATAAGAATGATAATTAATAATTAATAACAACAACAATAATAATAACTATAACAATTATACTTTCTCCGTTCCCAAATAAACTTCTCTTTTCGTTTTTTCTTTGCCCCCAAATAAACTTTTCTTTTCCCTTAAAAATCCCTTTTACCCCTTACTTTTTCATACTCTACCTATCACATCATACCTTTTTACTAATAATTTATATATCACATCTTACTTTTACACATCACATCAAGGGTATTTTTGGAAAATCAACACAAAAATATTCCTACCTTTAATCTTCAAAAAGTCAAAAAGGGAAATTTATTTAGGGACGGAGGAAGTATTAAGAATACTATGTAAATATACATAAATGATTTTTTGAAATGTTTTCCAGCTTCTTCCAATTTTTTCTAGTTTTTTAAGTTTCTTCTAGTTTCTCTCAACATCGAATTTTTTTTCAGTCCTAAACAACAATTGTTCCTAGCTAGAAAAAGATTTGCCATTTTTATGATTATAAGTAGGGATGGCAATTCAACCCGAACCCGAGCTTAACCGACCCGACCGACTACTAAAATATCCGAACCCGAACCGAGAATAAAATAATCTGAACCCGACCCGAAATTTTTTACCCGAAACCGACATCGAGTCGGGTCGGGTGTGGGTTTATTATTTTACCCGACCCGACCCGAACCCGCACCCGACCTGACTCAAACCCGAATATTTTATAACATAAAAGCTTATCTATGGATATAATGAGCACTCCGTATAATCTCTTGACAAAGTGCTACTATATCAAGTATGCCTTTTATAATCATTTTTATAATTTCTTAATAAAAAAATGAGACACAAAAAAAATTAGATGTAATTTTTTTAAATTATTAGGGTACGCCAAATTGATTATTAGTTAAAAGTCGGGTTCGGGTTTCTAGTTGGAATATCGGGTTCGGGTCGGGTTCGGGTTCGGGTTTTGGCTTAAAAAGTCGGGTTTCGGGTCGGGTTTGGATTTCAGTTTTTAAAGTCGGGTCGGGTTTGGGTATAGTACTATCCAACCCGAACCCGACCCGTTGCCATCCCTAATTATAAGCCCTAACTAGAAAAAGTAAAAGCAGTGGGAATTAATTATAAAGCTGATCTTTTAAATTTGATGATCCATATTAATTACGGTAATTAATTTTCTCCTACCACTCCCACACCGTAATTATAGCCCCATTCATCTTCTTAATCAACACCTTGCACCAGATTTAGATCGCCAAGTCGATGAAATATACGAGTGCAAAGAATTTAGGTCTTTGCATATATTCATATACCAGAGCACTCAATTATATACGATGATATATATAATTAATTACTCTTGTCTATGAATACATGCAAATGCATATTTTTTTTAAAGAAAATAATGTTATTTGTTTTTAAGAAAAAAATGAAATTATATTGTTTAATACATAATCAAATTGTGGCTTTAATATCTTATTAGAGAATTCTGATTTTGCTCCTATTAAAATATTTTTAATCAAATCATCCTTCTAAAATTATTATTTTTTCAAATGGTTCTCGCCTAGTTTAAATACTCCCTCCGTTCGCCATAGATTTTCCCAAATTAAATTTTTCTAATTTTTAAGAAGAGTTATAAAAAATGAAAGTTTACTAAAATATCCTTAACAAATTGGGTAGTATATACTGCGCATTAAATGATTTAGGTGATGTGTAATAAATAAAGTAAGTAGAGGATAAATAAATGTTTTGACATCTTAAATGTTAAAAAATGTAACGGGAAAATTTATAAATCTTTTTAGTAAGTGGATTATACCTTATGATCCCTTTAAAATTTATGAATCTTTCACGTCCCTTTAAAATTCGTTTGGTTTATTTGTTCATATTTTATATTATTAAATACTAGTACTTCGTACATGATTTATTTATTATTTTTATTCAAAACATACTTAATTACAAGGTCAAAATCAATGAAATACTTTTATACGTTCAATTAAATAACTAAACTATTACACATTCATTTGAAAATTTTCTAAATTAGTACTCCCTCCGTTCCAATTTAAGTTTTCTGTTTATTATTCACATGGTCAAATTTGATTCATTTTCTTTATCTATTTTCATTACTTATTTGATAAAATAATATAGTCATGTCAAATTTTCTTTCATAACACTTTTGATTCCGTTTTTTAAAATATAATTTTATTTTTTAATTCCACTCCAACTCTAAAATAAATGAATACAAGTACATCACCATCACGAGCAAGATAATCACCACAACATTGTTCTCCATCTTCTCCCCCATGATCTGATTGAATGGTAGGAAAAGGAATATCACCTTCAGGGAGGATACTCGATCTGACAACTCTTAAGCATGTGACCCAGCCTCTTGGTCGATGCCTCCGTGGAGGGAACAATATTCCGATCTCCTCTGCACATCTTTGCTTGCATCACGTAAATCATGTTCTCTTTCTTACCTCGGGCTACGATCAAAGAACCTTTGGTGAGCTTCCACTTTCCTTCACCAAGGCGGCTAGCATAACCATCCTCATCAAGTCCTCCAGCTGAAATGAGGTTGAACTGAAACTCTGGAACATGTCTGGCATCTTTGAGGCTCAACCTGCAACTAGTGTTAGTCTTCAAAAAAACAGTGTTCATCCCAATAATCTTAGATGATTTGTCACCCTTTCCCATCTTTACAGAGCCAAAATCATCGCTAGTGTAAGATGAAAAGAACTTCTGATGAGGCGTGGGATGACATGAGGCACCTAAATCAATAATCCAGGTGCAATCCTGAAAAGGAACATCAAAGTTAATGTCATCGCACACAAAGAATAAATCATCTACATTTGCAATGGCTTCTGTGTCTTTCTCCTTTTTCTTCCCAGAAGTCTGACCATTTTCCTCTTTCTGCTGGGCTTTATCTCGCTTCATCTTCTTGCACTGAGATATCTTATGACTCGGTTTATCACAAATTCACAATAGAAGCATTTCACTTCGCTTCTTGTTTTAGATCTCCCCTGGATTCAAAGTCTCTATGTCTGTGTCTTCCACGACCCTCTACCTCAGCAACCTGATCGAGCCTGATCTAAGTAGCTAGAGGAACCTAGATCTCTTCTCCCAACTTCTTCGTTCAGCAGACTCGACTTCACAACATCCATTGTGAGCTTACCCTCTGGAGCAAAATTGCTAAGCGACACCACCAAGGTCTCCCAGCTTTTTGGCAACGAGCCGAGGAGCAACAACGCCTACAATTCATCATCTAAAACCAATTTCATAGAAGACAACTAGTTAATTATTAGCATATGTATATTTTTGTAACTTGTGTTGTAACGGGCCCAGGCCCATTAGCATTAGACGTAGCCCGTACTTGCTGTATATATACTTGTTGAGATTACGTAAATGATCAAGGGAAAGGTTTCACACATTTCTACATTAATCAACCCTTGAAAATCATTCAAATGCTCTACCACACTATGCCCATCCCTGTAATCAAGTTTCACTTATACATGCATTTGAGTTTCTCCCACATTTCATAGGTGTTGGTATCATTAGCAACATGCTGAAACACAATCCCACAGTTTTTCGATTAAGCAATTTCCAAGTTCCTTCTTGTTTACCGCTTGGCATCTCCTTATTCAAGATCGGTTCATGCAAATCCTTAATATATAAAATATCCTCCATCCTGAGTTTCCAACATTGATAATTAGAGGAGTTCAATTTAATCATTCCCCCAAGAACAACTTTATCCTCTATTTTAACAACAGAAGAAAATCACCCAAAAGCATCAACTCAAGCTCTGATACCAATTGTTGGGAAAATCACCTCAATTTTCTAGCGAAAGCAATTAATAATTTCACCGTCTTTGTGTTGTCAAAATGGGCAAAATCATATGACTGATCAAGAATAGCAAACACAACAACAAGCAATCAATCAAGCGATAAACAAACACCAAGATTTAACGTGGAACCCCCAAATCGGGGAAAAAATCATGAAACCTTCCACTAATCACCAAGAAAATCAGTGGGTACAACCAAGAATCCTCTCTAAATCAACTAGAGGTACACACAATCATCAAGCAACAACTTGGAACACCTAAGAACAATAATCTTCACTCAAAAGTGAGAAAATCACACAAAAACACAACAGAGAAATAGAGGCGGTTTTACCGACATCGAGAGGTCAAAACAACAATCCCACCATTGGATATGAAGAAGAGGATGTCAGAAACAACATACTAAAATTTTATTCCGATCAAAGCTCGTTTGGTCATCAATTAGAGCAAAAACCCGGACTGCTGCTCCACTTTTTCTCTTCTTTTGTCTCTCGGCTCCCACTCTCTCTGCCTCTGCGCCTGTTCTTTTCCGTTCTGTGTTGTTACTACCGTGGCATAATAATAAAAATTATTATTATTATTATTATTATTATTATTATTGTTATTGTAACCACCTATAAAGTAATTACATTTTTAACATTAAATGTATTATTTAGGAACTCCTTCTTCAATTCCATGTAGGAGAGATATCCCAACACTATAAAATAAATATGCATGAACAATTTGATTAGTTGTAAAAAAAAATGTTAGACAATAATAATAGTATTACTTGTGGTAGTATTTGTTGTGGTAGTGTTTCATTATTAGTCAGCTTCCTAATCTTATTTGTGGTAGATGTTATATTTTAGTTAGTCTCCATTCTCTATTCCTAGTTGTGTTAGGAGTCTCTCTTATATATATACTCTATCATGTACTTCATAATTTAAGGAGCAAGATTATTATTCCAATATTCCAACATGGTATCAGAGCCACCGCTCTTGGTGACCTAAAAGAGTTCTTTGCTCCCACCGCCGCCGCCGGTAATTCCGGCGACGGCGGCTCCACCCTATTCACCTCTATTTTCTTTTCCTTCTTTTATCCTCAAATCAACTTCTCCATTCAAATGGAAAAAAACCCTTTTTGAAATCACACAAATAAAAAATCATCAAAGGAGGAGCGTCCATCTTGTCATCTCCATGGTTCTTCAAAAAAAAATCCCAACTCCTCACAAACTCTCTCAACTCATCCTATCTTCTCAAAAAAAGGAAAAAAAATCATTGTTGTTTCTCTCTAATTCACCATATCAAAATCTCAGACCCAAATCTTTTTTTTTCCATCACCAATTCTTAACCTCTCTTCTCTTTCTTTTTTTTTTTTGAACCAATAAAAATCTATAGTAAATCAGAACAAAAGCGAAGCCAAGAGGGAAAGTAGTGACAGAGGAAAAAAATACCTCTATAACTCACTCATTCAAGAAGGAAATAAGGCATTGTCCGGATCCAAGAAAAAGACAAAAATGTCAAAGATCTTCAGTCAAACAGGCACCTCCAGTAGCCTTCTCTATTCTTCTTCGACGTCAGCAGCTACAAGCGCACGTCAACCTTCTCTCTTCTTCTTCGACGTCAGCAGCTACCAACGCACGTCAATTTCTCTCTTGTTTAACGATGTCTGTAGCTAACAGTGCATGTCAGAATTCTCTCTTCTCCAACAACGTCAGCAGCCCCTGGAGCACGTCAGACTTCTCTCTTCTCCAACGACGTCAGCAGCCACCGGCGCACGTCAAATTTCTCTCCTTTCAAAGTTTCCAGTTTCGAGCTAGTGTCCAAGCTTCCTCTTGCTTCAGCCAGAGTTCAGCTTGAGGGGGGATGTTAGACAATAATAATAGTATTACTTGTGGTAGTATTTGGTAGTGTTTCATTATTAGTCAGCTTCCTAATCTTATTTGTGGTAGATGTTGTATTTTAGTTAGTCTCCATTCTCTATTCCTAGTTGTGTTAGGAGTCTCTCTTATATATATACTCTATCATGTACTTCAGAATTTAAGGAGCAATATTATTATTCTAATATTTCAACAAAAAATAATGCCAAAATTTTCTTATCTTATTTAAAATTTAATATATAACATTATTTTTGAAATAATAAAGTAATTATGTATACTAAAAGATTTATTTATGAAGAATAACAACAATTTGAATGACATTGAGAAAGTATAGTCACAAAAATACTTTGTTCGATTTACTTATTCAAAAAATCCTAAATGCATATGTGTTACGATACTATATATTTTGTTTTTAACGAATTCTTATATGATGAATACGCATATTTATAATGATGCATGAAATATATTCATTTCACGAGACTAAATCTTAATAGAAAATGAATTCCTTTGAATCAATAAAACGGAATAATTATGTCAAAAACACCTTTATTAGGTGACTTTCTTTGTTGAAATGGGGCAAGAATTACACGGAGAAATAAGATTCTGGATGGAGAGTTGTATTATTTCCTTGATCAGATTGCTTGGAAATTGGATGGACTCCAAATCGAGCACTGCCAAAATTAAGCATCGACTAATTTGGCTCGTCAATGAATGAGAAGTGCTGAAGTATTTCCTTTATTTACATGCCATAAATGACATGTCAAGAAGTGACACATAAGCATGGTCAAAAGTCAACATTCTAAGAACTCAACTCTCAAATTTTATATATAAAGATTTCAACTAATTGGCCACCTTACACAATAAGAAGTTGGATGGTCTAGAGCTTGTGCAAGGTGTTGATTAAGAAGAAGAATAGAGTTATAATTATCGGTATGAGAGTGTCACGGGAAAATTAATTAGTTAATATGGATCATATGTAAGTCTTAATTAATTTTTGCAGTTATTTTGAGAATAAAACTATTGAACTCTTATTTTGGAGATAAATGATATGTTTTACTTTTATTTGAGATGAAACACCGATTTAAGTCTCAGTTTGATGAGAAAAATTAGTTCTGGTCTATTGATACTCATTTGAGAACAAGATATATGTATCAATCCACTTGGATTACAATTTTAATTTTAGACGTTAACAATAGATTTTTAGTAAACCATACTCTCTCCGTCCTAAATTAAATCGCTCATTTCAGGCGTTAACAATTTTCATTTCAGACGTTAACATCGATGTTAGTTTGACTGAAGTTATTTTGTATTCATTTATTTTAGAGTTGGAGTGGAATTTAAAACTAAAAATTATATTTTAAAAAACGAAATCAAAAGTTCTACGAAAGGAAATTCGACATGACTATATTATTTTATCAAATAAGTAATGAAAATGAATAAAGTTTGTCCATGTGAGTAATAAACAGAAAACTTAAATTGGGACGGAAGGAATATTAATTTAGAAAATTTTCAAACAAATTTGTAATAGTTTAGTTATTTGATTGAACGTATAAAAGTATTTCATTGATTTTGACCTTGTAATTAAGTATGTTTTGAATAAAAATAATAAATAAATCATGTACGAAGTTTTTAATAATATAAAATATGAACAAATAAACCAACCGAATTTTAAAGGGACGTGAAAGAATGGAAAGATTCATAAATTTTAAAGGGATCATAAGGTATAATCCACTTACTAAAAAGATTTATAATTTTTCCCGTTACATTTTTTAACATTTAAAATGTCAAAACATTTATTTATCCGCTACTTACTTTATTTATTACACATCACCTACATCATTTAATACGCAGTATATACTACCCAATTTGTTAATGATATTTTAGTAAACTTTCATTTTTTATAACTCTTCTTAAAAATTAGAAAAATTTAATTTGGGAAAATCTATGGCGAACGGAGGGAGTATTTAAATTAGGCGAGAACCATTTGAAAAAATAATAATTTTAGAAGGATGATTTGATTAAAAATATTTTAATAGGAGCAAAATCAGAATTCGCTAATAAGATATTAAAGCCACAGTTAGATTATGTATTAAATAATTTCATTTTTTCTTAAAAACAAATAACATTATTTTCTTTAAAAAATATATGTATCTGCATGTATTCATAGACAAGATTAATTAATTATATATGACATCGTATATAATCGAGTGCTCTTGTTTATGAATACATGCAGAAACCTAAATTCTTTATACTCGTATATTTCAACGACTTGGCGATCTAAATCTGGTGCAAGGTGTTGATTAAGAAGATGAATGGGGTTATAATTACGGTGTGGGAGTGGTAGGGGAAAATTGTAATTAATATGGATCATCAGATTTAAAAGATCAACTTTATAATTAATTCCCACTGCTTTTACTTTTTCTAGCTAGGGCTTATAATCATAAAAATGGCAAATCTTTTTCTAGCTAGGGCTTAGAGCATCTCCAACCATTGAGTTTTGGCTTGTTAAATCTTATTATTTGGCAATCCATTTTAATTTTTGTGCTCCAAAGGACTTGCTTTATTTTAGCACACTTGGTAAATTTTAACTTTGGCTTGTTATATATAACAAACCTCTCAAAATATAGCAAACCATGATATTGATTAAATATTTGATTTCTCTCTTCTTTTCTCTCATTCTCCTTCTCAAATTATTTAGTAACTTCTACTCTCTAATTTTTTACTTTTTGTAAAGTTTTTTTTTCTCTAATATTTATTTGGTATTTATTACATATTTAAAATAATACTCCGTATATTTTTTTATTTTCCCTAAAGTAAAATATTACTCCATATTGTTTTTTGACATTATTATTTTAAAATTACATACTTATTACTTAATTTTTATAATATAAAATAATAATTGAATAATTATTATAAAGAATGTATTATAATAGTGAAAGCAATATAATATAATTGTTGGCTAAATAATAGCAAGGGAAGGTTGGAGATGACAATGCAAAATGGCTTGCTATATCACTATTCACATGCTAAAAAATGACTTTTGCAAGTCATATTTAACAATTGTGGTTGGAGATGCTCTTACAATCATAAAAATGATTGTATTCTTTACTTTAAATCTGATTGATTTTAATTTACATATATTCATTCCATTCTCAACTTAGAACCTGTTGTTTATGACTGAAAAAAAGCTGAATATTGAGAGAAACTAGAAGAAACTGAAAAAAATTGAAAGCAACTGGGAAATATTTCAAAAATTTATTGATGTATATTTACATAGTATTCTTAATATAATTGTTATGGTTATTATTATTATTGTTATTAATTATTAATTATCATTCTTATTTATTATTACTATTATTATTATTATATTCATAATAGGTAAAAATGAATAAAATTTGACTACATGAACAATATAGATGTCATTTAATTAGGGACACAGTTGGTGGTATAATTTTTTTTTAATTTAAAATATTGATATTTTCCTAGGTCAATTTAGATTAATGAAATATTCATAATTTTTAAAACATAGTTTAGTGTCGTGTAAATTAAAAATAATAATTTTTCCATTAAAAATTTACTGCATACTATTTAAAAAAATATGTATCTGCATAAATTCATAAACTAAAATAATTAAATTATACGAACCATCAAAAAAATTATACATGACATAATATATAATCTCATGCTCTAGTTTATGAATTTATGCAGAAACCTAATTTCTTTATGTATTTCCACTAATTGGCCACATTAAGAAGAAGAAGAATAAGGTTGTAATTACGGTGTGCGAGTGTCAGGCAAAAATTAATTAGATGTAACCCTATTCATCTTCTTAATCAACACCTTGTACCAGATTTAAGGTAATTAATTTTCTTAATCAACACCTTGCACCAAGTAGTTTCATATTTTTATTTTTCAAAGGGAGAAATACAGATATAACAGTTTAATAGCCTAATAATACTCAAAATAGCAGTACTATAGGTTTTTGAGATGAATTCCCGATTTTGTCCTTAATTAAACACCCAAAATTAAATTATACTCAATTAGGTTAAAAATAAGTAATTGGCCGCCTCATGCAATAGAATCGACTAGACACAGCCGAACGCAGCAGCTTTGGGAAAGAGATGCAGTGCTAGGTTTCAATGGCAAGCGATGATGCGTTGGACGAGATTCCTTTTAGCAAAAGATTGGAGAAGATACATGTATGCTTCGTTTTGGGAGTGAATTCGTTACTTTGGCATAGTTGTAAGGTTGGTAGTACTTTGGCATACTAGTAACTTTGTCGGCAATACTTTTGTTTAATTTGACAGTGAATTGTGAACTTTGGCATTAGATTTGACTTGTTTTTTGTTTCACAATATTCATGGCGCACCGTTTGCAGTGGGGTTTTTTTTCCTTCGGTTGGCAGTGGGGTTTTTTGTTTTACAATATTCCTTAGGTTGGCAGTGGAGTTTTTTTCCTTCGGTTGGCAGTGGGGTTTTTTCCCTTCGGTTGGCAGTGGGGTTTTTTTCTTAGGTTGGCAGTGTGTTTTGTTTGTGAAAACTAATCTTCTTTTTTTGGTTTTTTTGAAACCGTTTAGGGTTTTTTACTGAATGTTGGCAGTGGGTTTAAATTCTTGTTGGCAGTGTGTTTTTTGTGAATTGATGGCAGTGGGTTTAAAGAAAAATAGGTAATTGATTAAACCAATGAATTTTTTGGCGGTGTCTTTTTTTGGGTTTTTTGTTCTCCACTGAAACATAATTGGTTTTTTTGGGTTTTAATTAATTTTCATAATCAACACCTTGCATCAAGTAGTTTCGTATTTTTATTTTTCAAAATAATAGTGAAAATTAATTAAGACTGACATATGATACATATTAGGAGAAAGACCAAAGTAGAACTAAAATATTGAAAATATACCAAAATAGGACTTTCATGTTTTTTTATTCTCGAAATAGGACTTAAAATGCATTTACATTACCAAACATGGTCATGTACATTACCAAAAAGTATAGTAATGTGTACATGTACAGTGTCACATTACCACAGTGCAAAATCCTATTTCGGAAAAAAACATGAAAGTCCTATTTTGATACGTTTTTATATGTTTTAGTTCTATTTNTTAGGAT